GCATTTCACAGACGAAAGCTTCCAAAACATTGCCCAGTTTGAGGCCGGATATGCACAGCTTGTTTGGACCGTTTGGAGCAGGGGAAGATCTGGGTATACAACCTGTAAGTTTGCATTGTTATTTGTGTATTTATCAAACAAGACTGTTTAAATGTGTAAACTGTGTTGGACTGCTAAGCCATTGACACAGTGCTAACTGTGCTAACTAAGTTGCTAGAGTTTCCATATATCAACTCTAATATCAGCAGATGGCCTTGCATACATGTATCTCATAGCAGGAGAATGTCTGCATTCACACACAAAATACCTATTGACAGTATACTCCGGGTGATTTGCCGGTCAGTCGCGAAACGTAATTACATTATAGCTGGCGTAGCGATCTAACACACGGAGCTAGAGCTAGTTTTGGTCAGAAAAACATTTTTGTGATGCTACGTTGCTAGCGTTTAAATATATCAACTACAATGTCAGCAGATGGCCTTACATGTTTGTCATGGCAGGAGAATGTCTGCAGTCACACACACGGAATACTCATACAGTATACTGTACTGTGATTTACCGTACATTGTGACCGTACATATACTGCATGTAGCTAACGAGGCTAGCTGTATGCTAGCGCAAAACAATGTATTCATGCAAGTTACATTGTATGACCGAACGTAGCAGAATACCCGTATACGATTGCAATTATAAACACGTTATTGCTAGCCTAATATGAACCACTAGCTTTTGTTCATAGTAGTTTTATTACACTGCATTATAGTTGCCTTTCCTCCAAGCTAACGTTCATATCGTGTTAGCTACCAAGGTAAACAAAGCTAGGTTAGCATATTAGCAGGCAAGCTGTTCATTACACAACTACTACTAACGAATCTAAAACAACTAAGTTTCTCTAATATTTTGTGATTTGCATTTGATTTCGTCCAGCCAGATCCTGGCGGACAATCCATGACGGGGAAGGGATTCTACTACTACTGAGGGTGCTAAAAGGCACCGCACCGACTGTGCGCAGGCAAGATGCGAGGAGGAGGAATGGATGATATACCGTGTATATATGTATATTTATGTTCATTTTGTACATTTCTAAAAATAAAGTTTAATGGAAATACTTAGTAGGCCTATCCTTTCTTCCCTGAATTCATATATAGCAAACCATGATTTGATTTCTCATCAAACAGTAGTAGTTTATAACGGGTAAAAATAACTTACTCTTTGTTATGAGAGTAGCTCGTAGGCCACAACGGAAAGACAAGGAGACATACACGAGTTTACAAAACCACGGCACATTTATTGTGGTAAATGCAGAGACAGGTGGTTGAGAGGATCGCAGAGTTAGTCTTCCTGCAGCCGCTTTGGAGAGAGACTGTGTCCGGAGGTGTCCGTGATCGTGCTGATTAGCCTCTTCAGCTCCACCCCATCGTAAGACAAAGGCCCTGAGGCCGTCACACTCTTCTATAACAACAGTTAAAAATATATATGTATATAAAATATACCGCTGTACCGACGCCATGATAAGACTGATGTTACGCTGAGAGCAGCCGGGAAAAGCACTGACATGGGCGCAGCCTCTCTGGTGGTTGACTAATCAGAACGAGTGGCCGAGCTGACCAATCGGAGCACACTAGGCTCACAGGGAGGGGGGGGCAAGAGCTCCAACGAGTCGTTTAGTGGAGAAAGTGAATACTGCTGAATACACATGCTTGACAGAGATGCTGTATGCGAAACCAATGTGAGTTTGGAAAATTGCACAGTATAAATCTATTTTAGTATACCTCAACAATGTAATTATGATCAGTGGAAATGGCCATGACATGGGCCCTTTAAGTAGTTTCTTGTTTTTCCCTGTCTTCGGCTTTTTTTAATAAAGGTCGCTTTATGTTACCAAACCTTTTTTGCACTTGGGTCCTATTTTTCCCCAAACCTGACCGTTTCAGATGACCATTGTAAAAGTGAATAATGTTGTTTTCCACATAAGGCCATAGTAGCTTAACTGGAGGGTATTACTTAACTGACATGTTGGATAGAAGAAATACTGTATACAAATTTAAATAAAGTCTTGTGACCAACCTTTTAGTCCAGCGAAGAGGAGAAGAAAGCTCAGTTGAACAGTCATGTTGGCAAATGGGCTGGAAACCACTTGAACCCAAACACTGGCAGACTGATTCTTTAGTTCCTTTTTTTTCTATGTTTTGTTTGTGATATATGCAGTTTGTTTTGCTACCACAGAGCACACATCACTCTTAGCATCTGACATCCTACAGACATCAAACAGATGAATTGAACAGATTTGTTTGAATTCAGTTACAAATGTGTATGGTGAAATAATACAAGCTAGCATACTTATTTGTCTTTTTATATTGTCTATTACATAGTTTGCTATTTGCTTAGTTTTCCCCACATGCCTAACATTGCTGTGTTTGGCGTCCTCTTCAGTCAGAGGAAGAGGAAAACGTTTTTTAAATAAAAATGATTTGTAATCGACCAGATCTGATGAGATTTAATGCATGGTCATCTTTATTAATAATATAGTACAAGCAAAACATTTTACGATACTTTATTTGTAAGGCCGGATCAGAGGATTTACAATTAGAGTTCACTAGATAACAATGCCTCTCCAGTGCACTTTTACAATATCATTTACTGTAGACTTTGGGACAAGGTCCACATTTCTAAACAAAAGAATAGCACTTCAGGCATATGGACTGAACCTTGTTCATTTATTTAAAACATTAAACCATGACAACCATTTGAAGTATGTGTCAAACACGCACAGTGCATACAAAGTGGAGAGATAATATTAACACTACATGTGCCATCAGAAAGTTGATGTTTCGAACAGTTAAATATATAAGAAGAAGACAAGGAGGATGGCAGAAACTGAAATATCAACTTGTGATTTATTGCATTTTAATGTTTATTTTAGTTTACTTATTTTTTACTTTAAACATTATAATTCATGTTCCATCAAACATTAAACAACAAAACACATAATACAAGACATAAATGAACAAACATAATTAAACAAAACCTGTAAGATTTGTTTGGTTCCTCCTGAATGTTCAGGAGCTTGGTCATTTTGTAAGAGTGTAGAAAGCTTTTGTCAATGCATAAAATCTCTTGAGCTTAAGGATATGAAGGGGGAGAAAAAAAGAAAAAAAAGAAAGCGGTTTCTGCAAAGCCAAAGATCAGATGTCGGCAAGTTGTATTTGGTGTCTACATACGCCGGGATCCGGAGTCATGGCTAATCCTGTTGCTGTGGTCCTGAGTCCTGGATCGCGAGCCCTGGATCTTGAGTCGTGGCTGTGCCTATTGCTGTGGTCCTGGATCATAAGTCCTGGATGGATATCCTCGTGGATTCATCTTCTTATTATAGACACATGCATTTCTAAACATTTGGACTACCTATGTTGGAAATGTATTATCTTTTCAATTTACACACGGCATCTATTGCACGTCTGTCCGTCCTGGGAGAGGGATCCCTCCTCTGTTGCTCTACCTGAGGTTTCTCCCATTTTTCCCTTTAAACTGTGGGTTTTCTTCTGAAGTTTTTCCTTGTACGATGTGAGGGTCTAAGGACAGAGGGTGTCTTATTGTCATACTGATATTCTGTACAAACTGTGAAGTTTGTGATATTGGGCTACGCCTCCAGCGTTGGGTACAGATGTAGGGTAGGGATAACATTCACAGGTTTCTCTGGTGCTAAGCCAACCTGCTTTATGTTACATCATCTTCTTCCGCTTGAATCTGTTGCATAAGTGAAGAAAAAATGACATTAGGGAGGAAAGATCAAAGATGAAAATGACTTTTGCCACACTTACAGCTCTAACAGGCTGGACACAATGCTTTGAGCTAAATGCTAACGTTACATTGTCCTGACAATGTCAACAAAGGCTGAAGTATTAATGTTTAGCAGGACTGCTTACCATGTTCATAATCTTAGTTTAGCCAGTATCAATGTCAACATTTGCTAGCACAAATCCAAAAGGAAAACCGAGGATGGTGGAAATGATCTTTCATAGTATTTCGTCATTATCAACAAATTACATTTCTGACCTGATTATGGCGCTATATGAAAATGCAAGGAATCACCGAATTTGTAAGGATACAGTCTTTTTGACACCAGGACCATCTGTACCAAATTGTTTAATGATCCATCCAACAGAACAGACATAAATCGGCATCAATATGTGGGGAAAAATGTGTGTTTTTCCCCACATTTTGCCTTAAAAAAAGCTTCACTATTACCATAGAATACAACATTAAATTAAAATGTACCCTTTGTTTAGTTTGACGTTCAGCAACCACAGAGGAGTACATCACGTCCACATCTCTATTAGCTTCTGACCACTGTGGAAGAAAGAAGAGACGGACTCGATCAGATCAATTTAACAATTTAACTTTAGATGTTGCTTCATAAAAACAAATGTTTATGATGAAATAATAAAAGCTCCCTGAGAGAACTTATCTTTCTACTTCTGTAATCCTGTTGTGAAATGAAAGTTGTGGTTTTATTGCTTAAGGGTTACCTTTTCTGAAGCTCTTCTCATGTGTTTAACATCGCTGTATGTTACTTCCTCTTCAGCGAGACCAAGCTGCAAACCATCAACATGAACATGAACAATTCTTCCTCTTTAGGGTAAACAGCTGATCATTTGAATCACCATAAGAGCTTACCCAAAACCTAATTCTAAATAGTTTTTGTATTCAAATTTGTAATGTTCTGTGCCAATCATTTTTACAGTGTCTTACCTGACCTGTCTTTCTCTTTTGCTTGACAGTACTGTATGTTACTTCTGCATTAGACTGTGTTAAAAGAGCAAAGGACAGAATTTGAATCACAAATATGAACCAAAAGCCTAATGTTCAATTGTTTAATGATCCATCCAACAGAACAGACAACAATGGCCACCCATATATAGACACGCTTCTATTTTGCCTTCAAAATGTGGGGAAAAAGCTTCACTATTACCATAGAATACAACATTAAAATTAAAATGTACCCTTTGTTTAGTTTGACGTTCTACAGCGACCACAGAGGAGTACATCACGTCCACATCTCTATTAGCTTCTGACCACTGTGGAAGAAAGAAGAGACGGACTCGATCAGATCAATTTAACAATTTAACTTTAGATGTTGCTTCATAAAAACAAATGTTTATGATGAAATAATAAATGCTGCCTGAGAGAACTTATCTTTCTACTTCTGTAATCCTGTTGTGAAATGCAAGTTGTGGTTTTATTGCTTGAGGGTTACCTTTTCTGAAGCTCTTCTCATGTGTTTAACATCGCTGTATGTTACTTCCTCTTCAGCGAGACCAAGCTGCAAACCATCAACTTGAACATGAACAATTCTTCCTCTTTAGGGTAAACAGCTGATCATTTGAATCACCATAAGAGTTTACCCAAAACCTAATTCTAAATAGTTTTTTTTATTCAAATTTGTAATGTTCTGTGCCAATCATTTTACACAGTGTCTTACCTGACCTGTCTTTCTCTTGTTCTTGACAGTACTGTATGTTACTTCCTCATTAGACTGTGTTAAAAGAGCAAAGGACAGAATTTGAACGGCAAATATGAACCAAAAGCCTGATGTGCAATTGTCCTTTTACAAAGAAGAAAATAGTATGAATAAGAATAAGAGTAGAGTAATAGTAATTATGACAATAAACATCATATGAAATAAGTGTGAATGTGCTGTCTACAGTGATTCATTGTAGCTTCAAAGGGACGGTACAGTAAAGTCTTATTTTATCTAGAATTGCTGCAGTGTTAAATTATGTTAATACCAATTTCCTTTCTTGTAAGATATTGTATTTGGAAAATAATTATCTATAATATCTTACAATTATTGTGGCTGGGGATTCTTCTTTGGTCTGTCCTAAAAGTGAAGCAATAAAAAATATTGTTAGTGACAATAATGCACAGTTATCTGAATTAATAGTAAATATATTTATGATTAACACACAATAATAAAAATGCTATTATTTGGATTGAGCATAATTCGGCATAGACTTACTGTGCTTTTTGAACATAAACCAGATAAACATGGCCACCATAACAATGAAGATCAGCAAACTCAAAGGGATGATGAAGCTCTTTAAGTTCCCTGAAACACTGCGGCAGGAATAAATAAATAAAAAACACAATGTAAATGACACATTTGTATAAACAGTCAACATTTGCATGATTCAAGAAAGTCTCTCACCTTTGCTGTTTACCCTCGACAGTGGAAAGTGGTTGGTCTGCAGAACTAGAGGTTTGCTTCACAGGCTCAGAGGTGGCAGGACTTGTTGCTGCAAAGGTGAATGTCATGACATGTGGATATAGCTTTTAGAGTAAAATGACATTAATAATTGCTAAGATTTCAATTTTATTAAATAAATAAATTGCAAATGACTTTACCCAACACATATTGAAAATGTTATATTTTGAAATTAAGAATGACTTATAACACTTACTAGTTGTAGGTTTCTCAGTAACAGTTATGTGCACCGGCATCTGTAAGTCTCCTTTAACGCACAAATACCAGCCGCTGCTCTCTGTCCTCAGTCCGCTCAGAGTCACAGAGAGAAGACCAGGGACATTATTCATGGTGACTCTTGAGTTTTCTAACCATCCATTCGGCCGTGTCACACAGGAGCTGCCCAGCCTGCACCACTTTATATCTCCAGCGTTATAATAGTGATAATCGATGGTTATTTCTTCTCCTCTGAATCCTGTCCTCTTCTGTTCATCCACATATAGATATGGATTGCCTTAATCGGAAACATAATTCAATGGGAACTTGTAAGCAGCCTAGTTGGTGCATGCTCCTGATGTTTAAATATATATTTAATAAAATTACATCTCGTAAAAGCATTATTTGAAAAGAAGAACGATGAAGTTATTGTAAAATCGAAGTGTTGAAATGTTACAAAAGATTAAAAAAGTTAATAAATAGACTCTTACCTCCAGTGACTGACAGATGGAAACGTGTTCCCAAATCTGGTCCATAATCAATCTCCACAGCACACCAGTAATAATCAGTGTCCTCTCCAGTCAGATCATTTATAGTCACAGTGAAGACTCTTTGTGTTTTGTCATCAGAGATCGAAAACTTTCCTGAACTGCTTGGTTTGTTTGTTTTAACTTTATCAGAACAGAAGTCCCAAGTAGATACTTTACACAAATATTTCACATTGTTTGTGTGCTTTGACTCATAGAGACACGGGATGGTGATCGAACCTCCAGCTCTCACTGACACTTTACTGACTGTAGTTATGCTGTGAATTCCTGCAACAAAAGCAAATACAGCATTTTAAAAAGTTAAATAAAAAATGGTCAATACTATTCCTTTAGATGGCTTACATAATGTTGATGTTCAAATTAGCTCATGTTTACAAATAATTACATCATTAAAGCCTTCAAAATATTAGAAATTCCCTCTAGCATACACATAAAATATGTTTTTAAGTCTTGATTCTTGTGCCTGACCTGTAAGTCCAGTGAAGATGAGAAGAAAGCTCAGTTGAACCGTCATGTCTGGGAGTGAGTGAGTCAAGCTAAACCACATGAACACTATCACTGACAGACTGAGTCTTTAGTTCCTTTTTTGCAACTCTTAATATCTTCCCTCCTCCTCCTTCCTCCTCCTCCTCCTCCTCCTCCTCCTCCTCCTCCAAGGCAGTCACACTTGTTAAATAATTTATATACTGTATATAAACTAGAGTTTATGCTATTTAAGTGTATGTGTTTTGTATGTACTTGTATATTATAATACAATACATTGTTTTTTTTATTTAAGGTTACCTCATCTGCAGTTTTCTCACATGCTTAAAGGTGGGGTATGTAATTTTGGAGAAACCAGCTCGAGATCGCTAGAATTTGAAAATACACAGCCGGAACAAATCTGCCACTTCCTTATAGAGCCCCTCCTCCAACACACACGAACGCGCACATGACCAATGAGGGCACGAGATAAGTTTGTGCACCGATGGAAGGCTGACAGGCAGGTAGGCCATCCAGTTATTTTAGCCGGGCCGGATAAAATAACTGGATGGCCTACCTGCCTGTCAGCCTTCCATCTGCCGGCTAAAATGATTGGTCGTGCTTTTTACAGTACTACGGCTTCCAAAGATGACATTTTTTTATGGATTTTTTGTCAAAGCACTTAAGATATTCATTGCTATCGGGATGTTAAGAGCATTCCATGGAATATAACAAAAAGTGTATCTCGAGCCGGTTTCTCAAACTTACCTACCCCACCTTTAACGTTTATATATTTTACTTTCTCTTCAGTTTGATGACGATTCAAGCCAAATGTTTTTTAATATTTTATAAAATAGATGTATAGTAAACCAGATCTGATTAGATACCATGTGGACATCTTTGGGAATATAGAAAAGCATGAATCACTTCTTATAAATACTACCTTTGTTAGGCGTACACGATCAGAGGAATTACCATGAAGGTTTACTAATATCTATGCATAGTACACTTTTAAAGTATAATTTACTGTAGACTTTGGGGGAAGGTCCAGAGGTTACAAATGTTTTAAACAAGAGACCATCAGTGACTAAAACATGTTTACTAATTAAAACATTACACTACAAGTAAATGCAAACTTTAAGCCATTGTATATTCAATTAAAAATACAAATAATAAAGCTTCAAATATAGGTTGTTATGTACATGTCTACATAAAAACACGTTTTCCATTTAAAAACTTGTGTTTCAGTAACCAAAGTGTAGACACATGCAAACTTAAGAATGTAAACGTTCCTAGATGTACCTGCTGCTTAAGGCAGACGTCACCGAGCATGTTCAACACAAAATGGAGCAGTGGCCGTTCCTATAATCTTTTGAATGTGCGAGTCACCTATTCCTGAATGTCTTTCTTTCTATATGGAACTTCAGGCTTCTGTCAAACCCGCACAATTAATACAAAATGGAAAGATTTAGAAAACTGCAAAACTACATTATGAAAGTGACATTTCAGTCAGAAGAAATGATTAGACAAGAAGAGGGATAAGAGGAGGAAGACAACTGGCAGGTCAATTGTTTAATTATTGTTGGAGTATGTTTATTTTTACTATTTAATATCATTAATTTACACCAAACATCACATAAAAAAACATTATGATAAAGACAACAATGACAAATTAAAAGGTAATATTGTTGGGTTGTGAAACCTCATTTGTTGAAGAGTGTAGAAAGCGTTTGTTAATGCAAAAGAGAGGTTTGTTTGATGGATTTTAGAAAAACAAACCTGACTCTTGAATGCAAGGTGATCGTGGGAAACTAGGCCCAAGTCAGTACTTTTTTAACACATGTTGCAGCTTTGTAGAAGAGGAGATAACTAAAAGCAGAAGGTACAAACCCTCAAAAAAAGAAGTACGAGGTTTCTGCAAAACCAAAGAGCACATGAAAGCAAGTTGCAACAACATCATTACAAAACAAAACTCCAGTGATACAGATGTAGGGTAGTGGTAACACATTCACAGGTTTCTCTGGAACTAAGGCAAGTTGCTGTATGTGACATCCTCATCTTCTGCTTCAACCTGTTGCAGAACAGAACACAACATGTAATAGCTGAAGAAATATCAAACATAAACCTACTTATTCAATACTAGCTGAAAAATGTAAAGTTGATTATATTGAAAGATAATTAATCTTAAATTGTTTGTTGAATTACTTGTGTATATTTTATGATTAAAATGATAATACATTAACCTATGAGCCTTTTAGTGCGCTCTTTTAGTGCTGTACGAGTTATGGTTTTAATGGTTAAGGGTTACCTCGTCTGAAGATGTTGTCACATATCTTACTTCCCCTTCAGCCTGTGTTGGAGAAAAGAGAACGTCATTTACAGATGAGCTATTGTTAGATTTAATTAACAAGGCAAGTGTTAAAGTACTCTATTATAGGTTTGTGAGGACATACTTATGTGAGTTCAAATTGTTTTTACTGTACCTTTATGGGCTCAGAACAGTCTCATAATACACACATGCACACAGAAGGATTCACACTTGTATTTCCGGATCCACACTTGTGTTTTTCAATGGACACACAAATGTGTTCCGTTTCATATACATGTAAATAAAATCCAAACACAGAAAAAAGTTTTACATATGTATTTTTGATCCACACATATTTGTTTACCGTTTAAAACCTCTGAACCTGCTAACACAAACCGCTTTCTGTGCATGGATCGCTGTGCATTCGTGTGTAGGTTTTTTGAGACTCCCCTGACGGTCACCCGATTTGTACTTGTAATTTCTTTCATCTATAGCCAATCAGATGTCTCCTCCAGTCTAAGCCAATCACATGAGCGGGTCCCCACGAGGGTAGGATTTCTTGCGTTCATGACACTTCATATACGCATTTTGCGCTGTCCGAGCAGGGTTTCCGCAGACAGAATTTATTTTACCGGACAAATTTGAAACTTACCGGTCATGTTTCAATAATAATAATAATAAGAAGAAGAAGAATTGTGTAGCAGAGTTTCCGTTAGCAGGTAATTACCGGACTATGACCGGATATGGCTAATAACACGGGAGTAAGGATCATCTCTTTTTTCCTCTCTCCCTCCCTCTCTCCTGACAGCCTGTCATGCAGCTCGCTAAAACTTCACTCACGTTTATGTCCATATCGATCAGATCCAGCTCTCCTGATCGGCCTTTATAGAGAGCACCGATCAAACTATTAAGAGTGAATATCGGCCGATAATGACCGGCGGGGCTCCCCCATTGACAGTTCACTGTCTAGCACTGGCTTCGTAGTGCACTGATCGATTAGGCTAAGCTAACCTGTAGCTGCTCCCTCCACACTCACAACAACTTCATACAAACATAAATAAAGCAGCTGTATTCGCCATACAGGAAACACACATTTAAAACGGTTTTGCCTGCCGTTTTTATGTACACAAGCATTCATTAATGGTTCGGAAAGTGGCACTGTACCTTAATAATATAAAGGCTTGTATTTGCGTGCATTTCCTGCTCGGAAAGTGGCAATGTACTGAGAGTGGAAGTGTCCTGAGATTAGCGCCTGCAGGCAGGCTCCATGGACCTGTCAGCTCCGGACAGCGCACAATGCGTACATGAAGCGCTACGTCATGAACGCAAGCAATCTACCCTCGTGGGGGCGCGCTCATGTGATTGGCTTAGAATCTATAGATAGAAAAAATGACAAGTACGAATCGGGTGACTGTCAGGGGAGTCTCAAAAAACCCACACACGAATGCACAGCGATCCATGCACAGAAAGCAGGTTGTGTTTGCAGGTTCAGAGGTTTTAAACGGTAAACAAATATGTGAGGATCAAAAATACATATGTAAAACTTTTTTCTGTATTTGGATTTTATTTACATGTATATGAAACGGAACACATTTGTGTGTGCATTGACAAACACAAGTGTGGATCATGAAATACAAGTGTGAATCCTTCTGTGTGCATGTGTGTATTATGAGACTGTTCTGAGCCCATATACCTTCTTAACAACAATAAATATAAAGTATAAAATCAATCAATTACTATGGGCTCAGAACAGTCTCATAATACACACATGCACACAGAAGGATTCACACTTGTACTCCGTTTAAAACCGCTGCACCTACAAACACAAACCGCTTTCTGTGCATGGATCGCTGTGCATTCGTGTGTGGGTTTTTTGAGACTCCCCTGACGGTCACCCGATTCGTACTTGTAATTTGTTCTATCTATAGCCAATCAGATGTCTCCTCAATTCTAAGCCAATCACATGAGCGCGCCCCCACGAGGGTAGATTTCTTGCGTTCATGACGTAGCGCTTCATGTATGCATTTTGCGCTGTCCGGAGCTGACAGGTCCATGGAGCCTGCCTGCAGGCGCTAATCTCAGGACACTTCCACTCAGTACATTGCCACTTTCCGAGCAGGAAATGCATGCAAATACAAGCCTTTATATTATTAAGGTACAGTGCCACTTTCCGAACCATTAATGAATGCTTGTGTACACAAAAAACGGCAGGCAAAACCGTTTTAAATGTGTGTTTCCTGTATGGCGAATACAGCTGCTTTATTTATGTCTGTATGAAGTTGTTGTGAGTGTGGAGGGAGCAGCTACAGGTTAGCTTAGCCTAATCGATCAGTGCACTACGAAGCCAGTGCTAGACAGTGAACTGTCAACGGGGGGAGCCCCGCCGGTCATTATCGGCCGATATTCACTCTTAATAGTTTGATCGGTGCTCTCTATAAAGGCCGATCAGGAGAGCTGGATCTGATCGATATGGACATAAACGCGAGTGAAGTTTTAGCGAGCTGCATGACGGGCTGTCAGGAGAGAGGGAGGGAGAGAGGAAAAAAGATGATCCTTACTCCCGTGTTATTAGCCATATCCAGTCATAGTCCGGTAATTACCTGCTAACGGAAACTCTGCTACACAATTCTTCTTCTTCTTATTATTATTATTATTGAAACATGACCGGTAAGTTTCAAATTTGTCCGGTAAAATAAATTCTGTCCGCGGAAACCCTGCTCGGACAGCGCAAAATGCGTAAGTGTCATGAACGCAATAAATCATACCCTCGTGGGGACCCGCTCATGTGATTGGCTTAGAATGAAGGAGACATCTGATTGGCTATAGATAGAAAAAATTACAAGTACGAATCGGGTCACCATCAGGGGAGTCTCAAAAAACCCACACACGAATGCACAGCGATCCATGCAAGAAAGCGGTTTGTGTTTGCAGGTTCAGGGGATTTAAACGGTAAACAAATATGTGAGGATCAAAAATACATATGTAAAACTTTTTTCAGTATTTGGATTTTATTTACATGTATATGAAACGGCATTTGTGTGTGCATTGAAAAACACAAGTGTGGATCCGGAAATACAAGTGTGAATCCTTCTGTGTGCATGTGTGTATTATGAGACTGTTCTGAGCCCATACATTTCAATGATGTCCTCTCTACCTCCAAATGTAATGTCCTTCCTCCTCCTCTTCCTCCTCTTCCTCCTCCTCCTCCTCCTCCTCCTCCTCCTCCTGTAAGACAGTCACAATTGTTAAATAATTTATATTCTGTATATAAACTAGAGTTTGCTGTTTCACCACAGCTCAATTTAACAGTTTTGCTTAATTTAATTACAAATGTATATGGTATATAACACTTGTGTATGTGTTTTGTATGTACTTGTATATTATAATACAATACATGTTATTTTATTTAGGTTTACCTCGTCTGCAGTTTTCTCACATGCTTAACATTTATATATTTTACTTTCTCTTCAGTCTGATAACGATTCAAGCCAAATGTTTTTTTCTTGTTTATAAAATAGATGTATAGTAAACCAGATCTGATTAGATACCATGTGGACATCTTTGGGAATATAGAAAAGCATGAAGCACTTCTTATAAATACTACCTTTGTTAGGCGTACACGATCAGAGGAATTACCATGAAGGTTTACTAATATCTATGCATAGTACACTTTTAAAGTATAATTTACTGTAGACTTTGGGGGAAGGTCCAGAGGTTACGTGTTTTAAACAAGAGACCATCATGGACTAAAACATGTTTATTAATTAAAACATTACAGTACAAGTAATTGCAAACTTTAAGCCATTGTATATTCAATTAAAAATACAAATAATACAACTTCAAATATAGGGTGTTATGTACATGTCTACATAAAAACACGTTTTCCATTTAAAAACCTGTGTTTCAGTAAACAAAGTGTAGACACATGCAAACTTAAGAATGTAAACTTTCATCAATTAACCTGCTGCTTAAAGCGGACATCAACCTTCAGCATTTTGAACAAGAAACAGAGCAGTTCTTATAATCTTTTGAATGTACAAGTCACCTATTGGTGAATGTCTTTCTTCTATATTGAACCTCAAAGAATGTGTCAAAAAATAAAAAAATTAAAAGACAATTTATAAACACTGCCATTATGGAAGTGACATTTCAGTCGGAGCAGATGATTAGACAATAAGAAGAAGAAGAGGAGGAGGAAGACAACTGGCAGATCAATTGTTTAATTATTCTGGTTGCATGATTCTTTTTTTAAATTAAATATCATTAATTTTACACCAAACATCACATAACAAACATTATAGTAAAATAAAGTTTTTTTTTGGTTCTGAAACATCATTTTTTGAAGAGTGTAGAAAGCTTTTGTTAATGCATAAGTAAGGTTTGTTGGATGGATTCTTTAAAAACAAACCTGACTCTTGAATTTAAGGTGATCGTGGGAAACTAGGACCAAGTCAGTACTTTAAAAAATATATATTTAGCAGCTGTGTAGAGGAGATAACTAAAAGCAGAAGGTGCAAACCCTCAAAAAAAGAAGTCAGAGGTTTCTGCAAAACCAAAGAGCAGATGATAGCAAGTTGCAACAACGTCATCACAAAAGAAGTTCCAGTGAATCAAGGGTAGGGGTAATATTCTCAAGTTTCCTGGAACTAGCCATGTTGCTGTTTGTTACATCTTCTGCTTCAACCTGTTGGAGAACAGAATACAAAATGATTTAACTGAAGAAATATCAAAGAGAAACTTGACTTATGCAATACTAGCAGCTGAACATTTGAAAGTTGATTATTTTGAAAGTTAAAATACATTAACCTATATGCTCTTTCGTGCACTTATTTTGTGCTGTACAAGTTATGGTTTTAATGGTTAAGGGTTACCTTGCCTGAAGATGTTCTCACATATCTTACTTCCTCTTCAGCCTGTGTTGGAGAAAAAAGAACGTCATTTACAGATGAGATGTTGTTAGATTAAATTAACAAATCGTTTTTACTGTATCTTCTTAACAACAGAAATGTACAGTATGAAACCATAGTAAACATAAACAATGTAACATGACCTTCTCTTTACTTCCAAACCAGAAGGCCTATCAGGGAACAGTCACATTGGGAAATGAATCCACATATGTTACCGTTGTGGCTGATGATTCTACTTTTATCTGCTCTAAAAGGGAGAGAATAAAAACAACTGTTACTGACTCCTAATTTTTTTGACAACAGCAATGTACATTTGTCCTTATTTCAAAATAATTATTGCCCAAAAAACTGAAATTGCTAATACAAACTGTTTAAAAAGAAAATGTTACTGAATATTTACGGTATCTTTTGTATATACACCAGATGAACACGGTCACCATAACAACGAAGATTACCACAGCCACGCGGATACCAAAGTTCTTAAAATGTTCATAAGGACTGCAGCAGGAAATTATAAGCACCCAGATTATTGTTAAAGAATGACAGGATTGTTTAACAACATAGTCTAAAATGTACTCATCATCCTGGTCATACTGCGTATTACACTATACTGTTTTACTAAATCCTATAAAGTTTTTCTAAGTAATTGTACAGTACATTGTGTAATGCGAGTAAAACATATATAGAGATTTCCCCACAATTGTTTTTTTTATCATAAAATGGCAACTTTTCTCCAAACACTGTATGTAATGAAAAGGTTCCTGACCTTGTGTGCCCACCCTGAGCTATTACTCCTGTAACACGACAAAATAGAATGTTAATATTCTCACTCAAATCAACACAAAGATTGATGCATTTGAAGATTCAATGTACTTATAACACTTACTAGTTGTCGGTTTCTCAGTAAGAGTTATGTGCACTGGCATCTGTAAGTCTCCTTTAACACACCGATACCAGCCGCTGCTCTCTGTCCTCAGTCCGCTCAGAGTCACAGTGAGAACACCAGGGTTGCGTGCACTGATCTCGACTCTTGTTCCATCTATTGATCCAGACTTTGTCACACAGGAGCCGCCGAGCCTGCACCACTTCCTTTCTCCAGAGTTTTGACAGTGACACTTGATGTTTATGTTATCTCCTTTAAATCCTGTAATCTCTTGCTGATCCACGTAGAGACTGGGTGAATACATTATTTGAAAAAAATAGGTAATTGTAATATTAAAGTGTTGATATGTCACAAAATATTTGAAAAGGCTTAATTGGGCTCTTACCTGCAGTGACTGACAGGTGGAAATACTCTTTGAGATCTGCTCCATCATCAATCTCCACAACACACCAGTAATAACCAGTGTCCTCTTCAGTCAGATCATTTATAGTCACAGTGAAGACTCTTTGTCTTCTGTCATCAGAGATTGAAAACTTTCCTGAACTGCTTGGTTTGTTTGTTGTAACTTCATAAGAACAGAAGTCCCAAGTAGATCCTTTACACAAGTATTTCACATGGTTGCTGTACTTTGACTCATAGAGACAAGGGATAGTGATGGAACCTCCAGCTCTCACTGACACTTTACTGACTGTAGTTATGCTGTGGATTCCTGCAACAAAAGCAAATACACAAATGTTAAAGTCATATTCAATAATAATTATCCATAAGTTCTGACATTACCATGTGAAGCATACAATAAAATATTCACAAATATAAAACGTTTTATGTAATTGACCTGTGAGTCCGCTCAAAATGAGAAGGAAGCCGAGATGAACACGTAAAAAACGTTATAGTGCTTTTTCAGATTGTTCAGATACTCCTTCAGATGACCTGCATATTGTAGAAGTTCATAATGTTGTTTTCCACATACAGTAAGGCCATAATAGATTAACTGGAGGGTATAACTTACTTAAAGGTGGGGTAGGTAATTTTGGAGAAACCAACTCGAGTGCGCTAAAATTTGAAAATACACAGCCGGAAAAAATCTGCCACTTCCTTACAAAGCCCCTCCTCCAACACACACGAACGCGCACATGACCAATGAGGGCACGAGATAAGTTTGTGCACAGATGGAAGGCTGACAGGCAGGTAGGCCATCCAGTTATTTTAGCCGGGCCGGCTAAAATGATTGGTCGTGCTTTTTACAGTACTATGGCTTCCACAGATTAATTTTTTTTATGGATTTTTTGTCAAAGCACTTAAGATATTCATTGCTATCGGGATGTTAAGAGCATTCCATGGAATATAACAAAAAGTGTATCTCGAGCCGGTTTCTCAAACTTACCTACCCCACCTTTAAAGGGGACCTATCATGCAAAATGCACATTTGTACGTCTTTTATACATGAATATGTGTCCCCGGTGTTCCAGGGAACTCACCAAGTGTCAGAAAGCACAACCCTCTCTATTTTCCTCCATACCCAAATCTCTAAAAAAGGGGCTGCAACGGATCTGATAAAAACTGATCCAGATTTGAACACTGTCCTGACGTCAGGACGGTAGCGCTACGGCTATTGGGCCAACTCCACCAATCAGGAGGAGACAGCCACGGCCATTGCCGTTCGAAAGCGCTGGAGACGCTGTAGTACATATGCCAGGCCTGTAAGTGGCGCTGTAGTCTGCCACAAAAGCAGCGAAGAAGACTTGGTTACCATGGTTACCCTTCTGTTTATTCTCGCTGTGGCTTTCTTTCTCCCTCCCCGAGGCAAGCGTTTGCTCCCGCTGCAATGCAATCCCTCCCCGTCGAGGCAAGCACTGTAATTCTCTCCGGTTAGTCCACCAGCAGATGACAAACACCCACCTCTCCGCCTCTTCCAAGGAACGAGGGGACCGTGCGGCAGAGTTTCAGTTTCAGTTTGTTTCGCCGGTCAAGATGTCCGTTAAAGTTTAAATCTTCCGGACAAAATTAGAAAAGTGCCGATCAAAGGTCTTCTTTGTTATTTATTGAGCTTTAAAACAAATGAATAACGACTCTATATAATAAAACACGGAGATCTCTTTTTCTCCCCCTCTTCTGACAGCCCAGCAGCTGATCAGAGCACGTCTCCCCTCTCCTGCAGGGGGGCGTGGTCAGCAAAATCAGACCCGTAGACAGCAAACAGCACATAGAGTGAAATGAGGCATGGCTAAAATGCATGATCTGTTTGGTATTTTGAAAACAGAAACGTATAAATATACCTTATATAGGTATGGCCCTACAATATATCATTTAAATATAGCATGATAGGTTTCCTTTAACTGACATGTTGGATAGACGCATACTGTATACAAATAAAAATAAAACCTGAGTCTTGTGACCAACCTTTTAGTCCAGCGAAGAGGAGAAGAAAGCTCAGTTGAACAGTCATGTTGGCAAATGGGCAGGAAACCACTTGAACCCAAACACTGGCAGACTGATTCTTTAGTTCCTTTTTTGCTACACTTAATAACTCTACTTCTCCTCCTCCATCTGTAAGACAGACCCAATTAGTAAATGATGTATGTTTAGTTTGTGATATATACTCTTTATGCAGTTTGTTTTGCTACCACAGAGCACACATCACTCTTAGACACTTACTCTTGACATCTTACACACATCAAACAGATGAATGGAACGGATTTGTTTAATTCAGTTACAAATGTGTACAGTGAAATAATACAAGCTAGAATACTGATGTGTCTTTTTATATTGTTTATTACATAGCTTGCTATTTGCTTAGTTTTCCCCACATGCCTAACATTGCTGTGTGTGGCGTCCTCTTCAGTCAGAGGAAGATTCAAACCAAAAGTTTTTTTAAATAGAAATGATTTGTAATCGACCAGATCTGATGAGATTTAATGCATGGTCATCTTTATTAATATAGTACAAGCAAAACATTTTATGATACTTTATTTGTAAGGCCGGATCAGAGGAATTAGAATTAGAGTTCACTAGATAACAATGCCTCTAGTGCACTTTTACAATATCATTTACTGTAGACTTTGGGACAAGGTCCACATTTCCAAACAAAAGAATAGCACTTCAGGCATATGGACTGAACCTTGTTCATTTATTTAAAACATTACAGTTTTTCTCGATTGCTAACACACACAAATTATACATAAAGCACAATTATTTTAACTGACACTCAAAGAGCAAAACATTGGCTCAAATCTCCAAAACTCTAAACACGTTTTCAGCTTTTCACACAATTTGCAAATCAACATGGCACTTTTCGCAAACCACTGCACACGTTTCTCCACGTAAGACACAGGAATCTGACATAAAGTCACGTGTTAGCAGGTTTAAAACACTGATATTCAAAATGCCTCACACATGGACCAATGATCAAGAAACACATTCCACCTGACCAAACACCTGATAGCATAATTGTTGGCTAATCAATCAGGATGTTAGCACTATAAAAAGACCACAGGTGAGTACTTTCTTACAGCAACAATGGAAGCCAACATGGAAGCAAGAGCAAGAGGAAGAGGAAGAGCTGGGCTGAGAGTGAGAGGAGGAAGAATGAGAGGTAGAGGTAGAGCTGGAGGGAGAGGACGTGGACAAAGAAGAATACTCTCTAATGAAATGAAATGTTATCAACCATGGTGTGACGATGAGAGAGGCTGGACAGAGGGTTCAGCCTAATCTAAGCCGATTTACTGTTGCCTCTGTAATCCGGAGACTTAGACTTGAAAACAGGTTACCAGTTTGTAGCTCTGCATAATTCATGATATATCAGTGCTTATATCTGTTGTGTGAAACGTATTTACTTCATTACTGTAATTGAATTGTTGGCATGTTGCATACTATAACTGTACAAAAATCCTGCACAATTGACTGTGGTAAACTTACTTGTATGCAACACAGACACTGACCAACCACTATATCTTTGTCAAAAAGAGGTGCAGGTGGAAGGCTAAGGATGTTCAATGAGGCACAGGAAGCAGCAGTTACAAACTGGGTTTTGGCAAACAATGCCATCACACTTAGAGAGATCCGAAGCATAGTAACTATGTGCTGAGATGCATGTTGCACAATGTTATTTTTGAATAAAATATGATTTTTGTCAACAACTCATTTGTATTTCTTCATTTACTGTATTTCTGTAAACTCAAGCAATCTTTCTCTGCAGAAACCTCTATGTACAGAGCATAGCCCATACAAGATGAAAGTGCTTTAGATTATGCTCAGCAGTGTGTAGTTGGGTGGTCAAACAATCTAGTATTATGAATGAAGTGTGTAATATTTGGTGCAAAAGTTGAATGTAGTTTTGAGTGCAGTTCTTCATTTAGCAGGAGAAATTAGGTGTTTTGCACTTTGGGTGTGTGGTTTTGTGAATTGTGTTTAGTGTTCTGAGAAACTGAGCAATTTAAAAATAAATGTGTGTTAGCAATCGAGAAAAACTGTAAACCACGACATCCATTTTAAGTATGTGTCAAACATGCACAGTGCATACAAAGTGGAGAGATAATATTAACACTACATGTGCCATCAGAAAGTTGATGTTTCAAACAGAAGAGTTCATTATATAAGAAGAAGAAGACAAGGAGGATGGCAGAAACTGAAATATCAACTTGTGATTTATTGCATTATCATGTTTATTTTAGTTGACTTATTTTGTACTTTAAACATTCATGTTCCATCAAACATTAAACAACAAAAAAACATAACACAAGACATAAATGAACAAACATAATTAAACAAAACCTGTAAGATTTGTTTGGTTCCTCCTGCATGTTCAGGAGCTTGGTCATTGTGTACGAGTGTAGAAAGCTTTTGTCAATGCATAAAATCTTTTGAGCTTAAGGATATGAAGAAAGGGGAAGGGGAGAAAAAAAAAGAAAAAAAGAAAGCGGTTTCTGCAAAGCCAAAGATCAGATGTCGGCAAGTTGCAAGACTGTCATCTAAAACAAGCCTCCAGCGATGGGTATAGATGTAGGGTAGGGGTAACATTCACAGGGTTTTCTGGTGCTAAGCCAACCTGCTGTATGTTACATCATCTTCTTCCGCTTGAATCTGTTGCATAAGTGAAGAAAAAATGACATTAGGGAGGAAAGATCAAAGATGAAAATGACTTTTGCCTAACAGCTCTAACAGGCTGGACACAATGCTTTGAGCTAAATGCTAACGTTACATTGTCCTAACAATGTCAACAAAAGGCTGAAGTACTAATGTTTAGCAGGACTGTTTACCATGTTCATAATCTTAGTGTAGCCAGTATCAATGCCAACCTTTGCTAGCACAAATCCAAAAGGATAACCGAGGCTGATGGAAATTAGCTTTCATAGTATTTGGTCATTATCAACAAACTACATTTCTGACCTGATTATGGCGCTATATGAAAATGTAAGGGATCACCAAATTCGTAAGGATACATTATTTGGACACCAGGACCATCTGTACCAAATTGTTTAATGATCCATCCAACAGAACAGACAGAAATCGGCATCAATATATACACGCTTCTATTTTGGGGTAAAAGCTTCACTATTATCATAGAATACAACATTTAAATTAAAATGTACCATTTGTTTAGTTTGACGTTCTACAGCGACCACAGAGGAGTACATCACGTCCACATCTCTATTAGCTTCTGACCACTGTGGAAGAAAGAAGAGACGGACACAATCACATCAATTTAACAATTTAACTTTTGTTTTTGCTTCATAAAAACAAATGTTTATGATGAAATAATAAATGCTGCCTGAGAGAACTTATCTTTCTACTTCTGTAATCCTGTTGTGAAATGCAAGTTGTGTTTTTATTGGTTAAGGGTTACCTTTTCTGAAGCTCTTCTCATGTGTTTAACATCGCTGTATGTTACTTCCTCTTCAGCGAGACCAAGCTGCAAACCATCAACATGAACGTGAACAATTCTTCCTTTTTGGGGTAAACAAGGTTCCATTCTTGGACCATTACTGTTTTCTCTGTACATTAATGACTTGCCTAATGTATGTCCTGATTTGAATGTACAAATGTATGCCGATGATGCGGTCATCTTTGTACAGGGGAAACATACTGAAATTATCTCATCCTGTCTCTCAAATGCTTTGGGACAAGGATCAACACTGGCTGAACAACATTTGCTTACAGTTAAATGCAAAAAAAAACAGTATGCATGATGTTCAGTAAACGACCAGTCAAAATCAAAGGATCCAATGTGTTTTTAAACGGAGCAGAAATAGAACTAGTCCCCCACTTCAAGTATCTTGGAGTCATATTGGACTCGAACTTGACTTTTAAGAAACATATTAAGAAAGTATCCAATACCATTCAATTCAACTTGCAACATTTAAACAAATCACACCTTTTTTTAACTGTCAATGCTGCAAAGTCATACCTCCACTGTATGATTCTATCCCACATTGAATACTGTTTGACAAACTGGTCGTTTGCTTGTGCCACAAACCTGAAACCCATAGAACAGCTGTACAAGAGAGCTATCAAGGTGTTTGAGAGAAAGCCAAATTCATACCACCACTGTACCATCCTTGAAAAACACAATTTCTTGAGTTTTGACAATTTTAAGTCTTTTAAAAGTATGTGTTTTTTTTATAAATGTTTACATGGACTGGCCCCCCCTCCCTTAGGGGAATTCATCCACAAAAAAGACACTGGACGCTGCACTAGGTCAGAAACCAGAGGAGACTGTGAAGTCCACCGTAGACTGACCACTTTTGGACAAAATGTCCTCTCCATTAAAGGCAGCTCATTGTGGAATAGCCTCCCAACTGAGAAAAGGGATTGTCCCACTCTCAATAGTTTTAAAGGTCAACTCAGAGAATGTTTAAGAAACAACCAGACGTGCAATCACCGCTAAATGCACTTTAACACAGGGGTATCTCCTCTTGCACTTTATGTAGCACTTTTATCTTTTCTTGCGCTTTATATGTCGTAGCTGCTACATTGTGGTAAATACGTGTGTATGCTGCTCTTGCTTAAATGTTTTATGTAAGGGACTGCGGATGGAAATTAGCTCAAAGCTAAATCTGGCACTGTTACGCTTAACACATTTGACTGTTTTAAGTGTTCATTACTGTGCATTGTCCCTGCCAAATAAACGATTAAATAAACAGATGATCATTTGAATCACCATAAGAGTTTACCCAAAACCTAATTCTAATTAGTTTTTTTATTCAAATGTGTAATGTTCTGTGCCAATCATTTTACACAGTGTCTTACCTGACCTGTCTTTCTCTTTTTCTTGACAGTACTGTATGTTACTTCCGCATTAGACTGTGTTAAAAGAGCAAAGGACAGAATTTGAACGACAAATATGAACCAACAGCCTAATGTTCAATTGTTTAATGATCCATCCAACAGAACAGACAACAATGGCCACCCATATATAGACACGCTTCTATTTTGCCTTCAAAATGTGGGGTAAAAGCTTCACTATTACCATAGAATACAACATTAAAATTAAAATGTACCCTTTGTTTAGTTTGACGTTCTACAGCGACCACAGAGGAGTACATCACGTCCACATCTCCATTAGCTTCTGACCACTGTGGAAGAAAGAAGAGACAGACACGATCAGATCAATTTAACAATTTAACTTTAGATGTTGCTTCATAAAAACAAATGTTTATGATGAAATAATAAATGCTGCCTGAGAGAACTTATCTTTCTACTTCTGTAATCCTGTTGTGAAATGCAAGTTGTGGTTTTATTGCTTAAGGGTTACCTTTTCTGAAGCTCTTCTCATGTGTTTAACATCGCTGTATGTTACTTCCTCTTCAGCGAGACCAAGCTGCAAACCATCAACTTGAACATTAACAATTCTTCCTTTTTGGGGTAAACAGCTGATCATTTGAATCACCATAAGAGTTTACCCAAAACCTAATTCTAAATAGTTTTTGTATTCAAATTTGTAATGTTCTGTGCCAATCATTTTACACAGTGTCTTACCTGACCTGTCTTTCTCTTTTTCTTGACAGTACTGTATGTTACTTCTGCATTAGACTGTGTTAAAAGAGCAAAGGACAGAATTTGAACGACAAATATGAACCAAAAGCCTAATGTTCAATTGTCCTTTTAGAAAGAAGAAAATAGTATGAATAAGAATAAGAGTAAGGTATTAGTAATTATGACAATATACATCATATGTAATAAGTGTTAATGTGCTGTCTACAGTGATTCATTGTAGCTTCAAAGGGACAGTACATTAAAGTCGTATTCTATCTGGAATTACTGCAGTGTGAAATTAATTAATTTAATTTCTTGTAAATAAATGTATTTGGAAAATAATTATCATGTCTTACAATTATTGTGGCTGGGGATTCGTCTTTGGTCTGTCCTAAAAGTGAAGCAATACAAAAAGTATTTTTAGTGACAATAATGCACAGTTACCTGAATTAATAGTAAATATATTTATGATTAACCCACAATAATAAAAATGTTATTATTTTGATTGAGCATAATTCGGCATAGACTTACTGTGCTTTTTGAACATAAACCAGATAAACATGGCCACCATAACAATGAAGATCAGCAAACTCAAAGGGATGATGAAGGCTTCCAAGATTACTGAAACACTGCAGCAGGAATAAATAAAAACACACAATACAAATGACAGACTTGTATAAACAGTCAAAATGTGCATGATTACGAGAAGGTCTCTCACCTTAGCTGTTTACCATCAACAGTGGAAAGTGGTTGGTCTGCAGAACTAGTGGTGTGCTTCACAGGCTCAGGGGTGGCAGGACTTGTTGCTGCAAAAGTGAATGTAATGACATGTGGATATAGCTATTAGAGTAAAATGACATTAATAATTGCTAAGATTTCATTTTTATTAAATAAATAAATTAGAAATGTGTTTACCCAACAAATATTAAAAATGTTATATTTTTTATTTAGAATTACTTATAACACTTACTAGTTGTAGGTTTCTCAGTAACAGTTATGTGCACTGGCATCTGTAAGTCTCCTTTAACGCACCAATACCAGCCGCTGCTCTCTGTCCTCAGTTCGCTCAGAGTCACAGTGAAAACACCATTCTTGCGTGCACTGATCTCGACTCTTGTTCCATCTATTGATCCAGACCGTGTCACACAGGAGCCGCCGAGCCTGCACCACTTCCTTTCTCCAGAGTTTTGACAGTGACACTTGATGTTTATGTTATCTCCTTTAAATCCTGTAATCTCTTGCTGATCCACGTAGAGACTGGGTGTACCTTGATGGAGAACATCATTCATTTAAACTCGTGAGCAGCGTGGTTAGTACATGCTGCTCATGTTTCAAATATGTTTGGCATATATTTATATCTGGTGAATACGTTATTTGAGAAAATGAGGTAATTGTAATATTAAAGTGTTGATATTTCACAAAATATTTGAAAAGGGGGAATTGGGCTCTTACCTCCAGTGACTGACAGGTGGAAATACTCTTTGAGATCGGGTCCTTTAATCTCCACAACACACCAGTAATAATCAGTGTCCTCTCCAGTCAGATCATTTATAGTCACAGTGAAGACTCTTTGTTTTTTGTCATCAGAGATGGAAAACTTTCTTGAATTTCGTTGGTTTGTTTTAATCACGGAAGAGCAGGAGATCCAAGTAGATCCTTTACACAAGTATTTCACATGCTTTGTGTACTTTGACTCATACAGACATGGGATAGTGGATCGAACCTCCAGCTCTCACTGACACTTTACTGACTGTAGTTATGCTGTGAATTCCTGCAACAAGAGCAAACCCAACATTTTAAAAGCCATTCAATAATAATTATCCATGTTACCTTCTGACATTACCATGTGAAGCATACAATAAAATATTCACAATGATACAATTATTCTGTCACTGACCTGTGAGTCCGGTCAAAATGAGAAGGAAGCCGAGATGAACAGCCATGTCAGAGTGTGAGCGGACCAAACAACATGTACGAACTGATGCTCTACTTCCTTTGTTCCTAAATATAAAATGCACCAGTTCAAATATGGGTCCCTCCTATAAGGAAGTTGCGTTTCATAGGTTAATTGTGTAATATATATATATCATTATTAGTGCAGTTGGGGAGTACCCTACTCTTACATACAGTAATAGCTTCGATGTAGAAAACATGAACACAACAATTCAAAAGAAAAAACCAGCATTTCAGGTTTATGGACTGAATTGTGTTAATTTATTTAAAGCATGACAGTAATAACATGAAATGATTAAAAACATTAAAAACATTTGTTTAACCCAAGTGGGTTGAGTAACGGAAATATCAAGTACCTGTCATTTTAACAATTGAAATCAGACATAGATAATAGTAATTTCCAAAGATACGGAGAGAAACAATAGGTATTATGGGTACTTTTTATGGGCAGTAAGCCTCAAAAACAGATAAAGTCCAAGTCCTTTTCAAGCTATATATGTGTGACACCAAGCTAACCAGTGCCCTTAAACGACTTCACACAATCGCCCTGTTTATTCTTTACATATCTGTGGTGTTATAGCCTTATGGTTTAACAAAGAGGGTGTCTGACGGAGTAACACAAACCCTGTTTGAGGAACCACAGATGAGACGATACATTTGGCTGTTTTCAGTTACATTATACAATTTTGTTGCTCGAAAAGCTAAATAAAAGTGATTGTACTGTACAGTAAAGTCAACTGTCATCATTTATAGTCATTCCAGAACATGTCATATATGACATGTTAAAGTATAAAAAGTGTTAGCATATCAAACTAATTAAGGTTAAATATGAGTTTCTAAACATCTTAAAGATGGAAGTAAGAACTAATTAATTAAAGTGTGAATAACATGTAAGTAATACAGTTGAAAAACATAAAAGTTATCAATGTTGTTGTTTTTGTATGCAGGGGAGGGTTCAAAAAAAGGTGAGATGACAACAGATGAAAAAGGAGAAGAAAGAAGTTACAGCACGACCAAACAAAGCTTTCTGCTAACAGAGAGATACGAGATTAACAGACAGACATCATTTCAATGTTTTGTCGGTGCTGAGCCACAATATACTTTACTGTAGAATGTAGGGTAAGGTCCGGTGGATACACATGTTTTTAAACAGAAGACCAGCACTTTAGGATTAAGGACTGAAACATGTTCATTTCTTAAAACAATGCATTAGAAATAAATGCAAACTTTTTTTAAGTGTGTGTAAAGCACGCACCATACAGTATATAAAAAAGTGGAGAGATGACATGAACACTGCATCAATGTGATTAGAGAAGTGATGTTTCAGCCAGAAGAGATACGAAGACGATGGGGATGACAACAGAAACAGGCCGATCCATTAGTGATTTATTGTGTTTGAACAGTTTTTATTACTTCTTTGTCATTTACATATAATTATTCATTTTACATCAAAAATCAGACAACAAACATCACGATAAAAGTATATATTTAGATATCAAATGTTTTGGTTCCTCCTGCAGCTTCTGACTTTTGGTCATTTTTAAGAGTTCTTTTGTCAATGCCTTTGGGAAACCCCTATTGAGCTTAAGAAGATTCATAAGATGGGTTTTGTTAGCTTGTTGACTTTAAGATGCTTGTTACGCCCATGTCAGTACTTGTTTGAAATGTTTTGCAGCAGTGTGGAGAAGAATACCTTCAAAAAGAAAGAAAAAACAAATGACAGCAAGTTGCAAATTGTCTAAAAAAAGACTCCAGTGATGGCTATAGATGTAGGGTAGGGGTTACATTCACAGGTTTTTCTGGTGCTAAGCCAACCTGCTGTATGTTACATCATGTTCTTCCGCTTGAATCTGTTGCATAAGTGAAGAAAAGAATAGCATGAGGGAGGAAATATCAAAGCTACGATCAACTCATACCTTACTAACAGCTCTGTCAGGTTTTACATGGAGCTCTGAGCCAGATGCTAACAATGTGCACAATGAGAAAGCAAAATTACAAATGTTTATCAGGAATGTTTACCTGCTAACATGCTAAAAAGTTGCCAAATAGCACTATCACAGAGACAACTGAGGCTGAGGGCTATTAGCTTTCATGGTGAAATGTGGGGAAAGAATGTTAGAAAAAGTTAAGGTCTGGGTTTGAATCCCTTAAAATGTACCTTTTGTCCAGTTTGATGCTCTGTAACCACATCAGAGTACATCACATCAGAGTACATCACATACACATCTCTATTAGCATCCGACCACTGTGGAAGGAAGAAGAGGCGGCCATGATGAGATCACTTGAAACATTTCACTTTTTATATTTATGATGGAATACAAGTTGGGCCTTTTGGGGTCAAGGGTCACCTTGTCTGTAGGTTGTCTTTGTTTAACATCGCTGTATGTTACTTCCTCTTCAGCGCGATGAAGCTGCAAACCATCAACATGAACACTTTTTTTAAATCAGGAAACATTTCATAACTATTCTCCTTTTTTAGGGCAAACAGAGGATCAGTGGAATCACCATAAGAGTTTAATAAAACCTAATTGTATAATAAAAACACATATACTGTGTTAATTCTGTGGATGGTCTTGTTTTGAAATAAAAATAAAAATATTTAGCGGCCGTAATTTTCACACAGTGACTGTCTTACCTGGCCTGAAGTCTTTCTCCTTTGCTTAACAATACTGTATGTTACTTCCTCTTTACCCTGAAGGAGCAGAGAACAGAACATGAACGATGAATATGAACCAAAAGCTTTAATTGGTTTATTTATTTAACGTATTTCTGTGTTTCTGACCTATTGTCTTGTTAGGAAAAACACTCTTAGTAATTATCAAGATATATGTGATAAGTATCAATGCTTTTTCCCAGAGATATATTGAACTCCTGCAGCTGCAAATTCAAAATAAAGTAAAGTTTTATATTATTTTGAATTACTGCAGTGTTTATTAGAAAAATGGCTATGATAACATAACAAAATGTATTGGGAAATGAATGATCATATCTCACCATTATTGTGGAAGAATCTCCTTTGGTCTGCTCTAAAAGTGAATCAATTATAAACTATTTTTACTTACAATAACACACAAATAGTCTGCATGATCGTTAATATATTGATGTTTTACAAACAATTATAATTTCGGCATAGACTTACTGTGTCTTTTGATCATTAAAGCGATGAACGAGGCAAACCGTTACAATGAAGATCAGCGAGCCCAACGGGATGATAAAGACCATCAAGTTTACTGAAACACTGCAGCAGAAATAAATAAATAAAAGAAAACACAATTCAAATGACAGTTGCTAACAGTCCAAAAAATGTTAGTTTCAATAAAATGTATAAGGCTTCTCACCTTTGCTGCTCAACCTCAACAGTGGAAGGAAGTCTTTGTGCTGCAGTACTATAGGTGTAATTCACAGGTTTGGAGGTGGGTGTCAAGGTGGTTATTTGGCTTGTGGCTGAAACTGTAAATATACGGTCATTATTTTTTGAAAATAGAAATAGAAAATTCTCAATTTACCTGACAAATATCTATAATTTCAGAATGACTTTTAGTACTTACTAGTGGTGGGTTTCTCAGTAACAGTTATGTGCACCGGCATCTGTAAGTCTCCTTTAACGCACACATACCAGCCGCTGCTCTCTGTCCTCAGTCCGCTCAGAGTCACAGTGAGAACACCAGGGCTGAGTGCACTGATGTTGACTCTTGTTCCATCTATTGATCCAGATTTTGTCACACAGGAGCCGCCGAGCCTGCACCACTTCCTTTCTCCAGAGTTTTGACAGTGACACTTGATGTTTATGTTATCTCCTTTAAATCCTGTCATCTCTTGCTGATCCACGTAGAGACTGGGTGTACCTTAATGGAGAACATCATTCATTGAAACTCGTGAGCAGCGTGGTTTAGTATCATGCTGCTGATGTTTTCAAAATATGTTTGGCATATATTTACATCTGGTGAATACATTATTTGAGAAAATTAGGTAATTGTAATATTAAAGTGTTGATATTTCACAAAAGATTTGAAAAGGCGTAATTGGGCTCTTACCTCCAGTGACTGACAGGTGGAAATACTCTTTGAGATCTGCTCCACTCTTTAATCTCTCACAGCACACCAGTAATATTCAGTGTCCTTATCAGTCAGGTCATTTATAGTCACAGTGAAGACTCTTTGCTGTTTGTCATCAGAGATCGAAAACTTTCCTGAACTGCTTGGTTGTTTGTTTTAAACTTCATAAGAACAGAATTCCCAAAGATGTCCTTACACAATATTTCACATGGTTGCTGTACTTTGACTCATAGAGACATGGGACAGTGATCGAATACCTCGAGCTCTGACTGACACTTTACTGACTGTAGTTATGCTGTGAATTCCTGCAACAAGAGCAAATACAAAATTAGTTGAGTAAAAATGTTTACTAGTGCTTTTCAGATTGTTCAGATACTCCTTCTGTCATGGTTTTGGATTTATGTTTCATTTTCCACCTTTTATTTTGAAATGTTTCCTCCTTGTGTCTTGTCTGGTCCTACTCCCTGTGTTTGCCTTCCCTTTCGTTAGTTTCCCTGGTGTCTGATTGTCTGATTGTGTTCACCTGTTGCCCTTGTGTTCTGCCTCACACTGCCCAGCTGTGTCTTGTCCTGTGATTACCCTTCTGTGTATTTAGTCTGTCTTCCCCTGCTGTGTTCCATGTCTGTTCGTCTTCTCTTAATGTCTATGATACCCTGTCCGTCTCTTCATGTCCATGTTCCCTGCCTCGTCTATGCTCGTCTGCTTGTCCATGTCACCTGCCTGTTCCGGTCTGTAAGTTTTGTTCTTTGTCGTGTTCCCCGGTTTTGTTTTTGTTAAAGCTCCCATGTCATGCTTTTTCCGGTTATTACCCTTTCCCATTGTGTGGTTATGGATAGGTTTTTATGCAGTGTAAAACGGTGTGCAGAGTCAAAACCCTCAAAGTACACCCTTGTACGCGAGTAAAACTCTAACACAGAAAGTACCTCCCCAAAACGCCTCGTTGGAGATACGTCACTGCCCAGTTGAGTCTTCCCATGTAGTTCCGGGTACCGCCGGATGTCATGCGGTACCCGGAACGAAATGGACCAATCCCGAAGAGCTATGGCCACACCAGCAGCGGCGTGTCCTCCTCCAGAGGTTCGAAGAAACCGGCATTTCACAGACGAAAAGCTCCCAAAACATTGCCCAGTTTGAGGCCGGATATGCACAGCTTGTTTGGACCGTTGGAGCAGGGGAAGATCTGGGATACAACCTGTAAGTTGCATTGTATTTGTGTATTTATCAAACCAAGACTGTTTAAATGTGTAAACTGTGTTGGACTGCTAAGCCATTGACACAGTGCTAACTGTGCTAACTAAGTTGCTAGAGTTTCCATATATCAAACTCTAATTCAGCAGATGGCCTTGCATACATGTATCTCATAGCAGGAGAATGTCTGCATTCACACACAAAATACCTATTGACAGTATACTCCGGGTGATTTGCCGGTCAGTCGCGAAACGTAATTACATTATAGCTGGCGTAGCGATCTAACACACGGAGCTAGAGCTAGTTTTGGTCAGAAAAACATTTTTGTGATGCTACGTTGCTAGCGTTTAAATATATCAACTACAATGTCAGCAGATGGCCTTACATGTTTGTCATGGCAGGAGAATGTCTGCAGTCACACACACGGAATACTCATACAGTATACTGTACTGTGATTTACCGTACATTGTGACCGTACATATACTGCATGTAGCTAACGAGGCTAGCTGTATGCTAGCGCAAAACAATGTATTCATGCAAGTTACATTGTATGACCGAACGTAGCAGAATACCCGTATACGATTGCAATTATAAACACGTTATTGCTAGCCTAATATGAACCACTAGCTTTTGTTCATAGTAGTTTTATTACACTGCATTATAGTTGCCTTTCCTCCAAGCTAACGTTCATATCGTGTTAGCTACCAAGGTAAACAAAGCTAGGTTAGCATATTAGCAGGCAAGCTGTTCATTACACAACTACTACTAACGAATCTAAAACAACTAAGTTTCTCTAATATTTTGTGATTTGCATTTGATTTCGTCCAGCCAGATCCTGGCGGACAATCCATGACGGGGAAGGGATTCTACTACTACTGAGGGTGCTAAAAGGCACCGCACCGACTGTGCGCAGGCAAGATGCGAGGAGGAGGAATGGATGATATACCGTGTATATATGTATATTTATGTTCATTTTGTACATTTCTAAAAATAAAGTTTAATGGAAATACTTAGTAGGCCTATCCTTTCTTCCCTGAATTCATATATAGCAAACCATGATTTGATTTCTCATCAAACAGTAGTAGTTTATAACGGGTAAAAATAACTTACTCTTTGTTATGAGAGTAGCTCGTAGGCCACAACGGAAAGACAAGGAGACATACACGAGTTTACAAAACCACGGCACATTTATGTGGTAAATGCAGAGACAGTGGTTGAGAGGATCGCAGAGTTAGTCTTCCTGCAGCCGCTTTGGAGAGAGACTGTGTCCGGAGGTGTCCGTGATCGTGCTGATTAGCCTCTTCAGCTCCACCCCATCGTAAGACAAAGGCCCTGAGGCCGTCACAGCTCTTCTATAACAAACAGTTAAAAAATATATATGTATATAAAATATACCGCTGTACCGACGCCATGATAGACTGATGTTACGCTGAGAGCAGCCGGGAAAAGCCTGACATGGCGCATGGCCCAAGGAAACTCTCTGGTGGTTGACTAATCAGAACGAGTGGCCGAGCTGACCAATCGGAGCACACTAGGCTCACAGGAGGGTGGGGGGCAAGAGCTCCAACGAGTCTTTTAGGGGAGAAAGTGAATACTGCTGAATACACATGCTTGACAGAGATGCTGTATGCGAAACCAATGTGAGTTTGGAAAATTGGCACAGTATAAATCTATTTTAGTATACCTCAACAATGTAATTATGATCAGTGGAAATGGCCATGACATGGGCCCTTTAAGTAGTTTCTTGTTTTTCCCTGTCTTCGGCTTTTTTTTAATAAAGGTCGCTTTATGTTACCAAAACCTTTTTTGCACTTGGGTCCCTATTTTTCCCCAAACCTGACCGTTTCAGATGACCATTGTAAAAGTGAATAATGTTGTTTTCCACATAAGGCCATAGTAGCTTAACTGGAGGGTATTACTTAACTGACATGTTGGATAGAAGAAATACTGTATACAAATTTAAATAAAGTCTTGTGACCAACCTTTTAGTCCAGCGAAGAGGAAGAAGAAAGCTCAGTTGAACAGTCATGTTGGCAAATGGGCTGGAAACCACTTGAACCCAAACACTGGCAGACTGATTCTTTAGTTCCTTTTTTTTCTATGTTTTGTTTGTGATATATGCAGTTTGTTTTGCTACCACAGAGCACACATCACTCTTAGCATCTGACATCCTACAGACATCAAACAGATGAATTGAACAGATTTGTTTGAATTCAGTTACAAATGGTGTATGGTGAAATAATACAAGCTAGCATACCTTATTTGTCTTTTTATATTGTCTATTACATAGTTTGCTATTGCTTAGTTTTCCCCACATGCCTAACATTGCTGTGTTTGGCGTCCTCTTCAGTCAGAGGAAGAGGAAAAGGCGTTTTTTTAAATAAAAATGATTTGTAATCGACCAGATCTGATGGATTTAATGCATGGTCATCTTTATTAATAATATAGTACAAGCAAAACATTTTACGATACTTTATTTGTAAGGCCGGATCAGAGGATTTACAATTAGAGTTCACTAGATAACAATGCCTCTCCAGGTGCACTTTTACAATATCATTTACTGTAGACTTTGGGACAAGGTCCACATTTCTAAACAAAAGAATAGCACTTCAGGCATATGGACTGAACCTTGTTCATTTATTTAAAACATTAAACCATGACAACCATTTGAAGTATGTGTCAAACACGCACAGTGCATACAAAGTGGAGAGATAATATTAACACTACATGTGCCATCAGAAAGTTGATGTTTCGAACAGTTAAATATATAAGAAGAAGACAAGGAGGATGGCCAGAAACTGAAATATCAACTTGTGATTTATTGCATTTAATGTTTATTTTAGTTTACTTATTTTTTACTTTAAACATTATAATTCATGTTCCATCAAACATTAAACAACAAAACACATAATACAAGACATAAATGAACAAACATAATTAAACAAAACCTGTAAGATTTGTTTGGTTCCTCCTGAATGTTCAGGAGCTTGGTCATTTTGTAAGAGTGTAGAAAGCTTTTGTCAATGCATAAAATCTCTTGAGCTTAAGGATATGAAGGGGGAGAAAAAAAGAAAAAAAAGAAAGCGGTTTTCTGCAAGCCAAAGATCAGATGTCGGCAAGTTGTATTTGGTGTCTACATACGCCGGGATCCGGAGTCATGGCTAATCCTGTTGCTGTGGTCCTGAGTCCTGGATCGCGAGCCCTGGATCTTGAGTCGTGGCTGTGCCTATTGCTGTGGTCCTGGATCATAAGTCCTGGATGGATATCCTCGTGGATTCATCTTCTTATTATAGACACATGCATTTCTAAACATTTGGACTACCTATGTTGGAAATGTATTATCTTTTCAATTTACACACGGCATCTATTGCACGTCTGTCCGTCCTGGGAGAGGGATCCCTCCTCTGTTGCTCTACCTGAGGTTTCTCCCATTTTTCCCTTTAAACTGTGGGTTTTCTTCTGAAGTTTTTCCTTGTACGATTGTGAGGGTCTAAGGACAGAGGGTTGTCTTATTGTCATACTGATATTCTGTACAAACTGTGAAGTTTGTGATATTGGGCTACGCCTCCAGCGTTGGGTACAGATGTAGGGTAGGGATAACATTCACAGGTTTCTCTGGTGCTAAGCCAACCTGCTTTATGTTACATCATCTTCTTCCGCTTGAATCTGTTGCATAAGTGAAGAAAAAAATGACATTAGGGAGGAAAGATCAAAGATGAAAATGACTTTTGCCACACTTACAGCTCTAACAGGCTGGACACAATGCTTTGAGCTAAATGCTAACGTTACATTGTCCTGACAATGTCAACAAAGGCTGAAGTATTAATGTTTAGCAGGACTGCTTACCATGTTCATAATCTTAGTTTAGCCAGTATCAATGTCAACATTGCTAGCACAAATCCAAAAGGAAAACCGAGGATGGTGGAAATGATCTTTCATAGTATTTCGTCATTATCAACAAATTACATTTCTGACCTGATTATGGCGCTATATGAAAATGCAAGGAATCACCGAATTTGTAAGGATACAGTCTTTTTGACACCAGGACCATCTGTACCAAATTGTTTAATGATCCATCCAACAGAACAGACATAAATCGGCATCAATATGTGGGGAAAAATGTGTGTTTTTCCCCACATTTTGCCTTAAAAAAAAGCTTCACTATTACCATAGAATACAACATTAAATTAAAATGTACCCTTTGTTTAGTTTGACGTTCAGCAACCACAGAGGAGTACATCACGTCCACATCTCTATTAGCTTCTGACCACTGTGGAAGAAAGAAGAGACGGACTCGATCAGATCAATTTAACAATTTAACTTTAGATGTTGCTTCATAAAAACAAATGTTTATGATGAAATAATAAAAGCTCCCTGAGAGAACTTATCTTTCTACTTCTGTAATCCTGTTGTGAAATGAAAGTTGTGGTTTTATTGCTTAAGGGTTACCTTTTCTGAAGCTCTTCTCATGTGTTTAACATCGCTGTATGTTACTTCCTCTTCAGCGAGACCAAGCTGCAAACCATCAACATGAACATGAACAATTCTTTCCTCTTTAGGGTAAACAGCTGATCATTTGAATCACCATAAGAGCTTACCCAAAACCTAATTCTAAATAGTTTTTGTATTCAAATTTGTAATGTTCTGTGCCAATCATTTTTACAGTGTCTTACCTGACCTGTCTTTCTCTTTTGCTTGACAGTACTGTATGTTACCTTCTGCATTAGACTGTGTTAAAAGAGCAAAGGACAGAATTTGAATCACAAATATGAACCAAAAGCCTAATGTTCAATTGTTTAATGATCCATCCAACAGAACAGACAACAATGGCCACCCATATATAGACACGCTTCTATTTTGCCTTCAAATGTGGGGAAAAAGCTTCACTATTACCATAGAATACAACATTAAAATTAAAATGTACCCTTTGTTTAGTTTGACGTTCTACAGCGACCACAGAGGAGTACATCACCGTCCACATCTCTATTAGCTTCTGACCACTGTGGAAGAAAGAAGAGACGGACTCGATCAGATCAATTTAACAATTTAACTTTAGATGTTGCTTCATAAAAACAAATGTTTATGATGAAATAATAAATGCTGCCTGAGAGAACTTATCTTTCTACTTCTGTAATCCTGTTGTGAAATGCAAGTTGTGGTTTTATTGCTTGAGGGTTACCTTTTCTGAAGCTCTTCTCATGTGTTTAACATCGCTGTATGTTACTTCCTCTTCAGCGAGACCAAGCTGCAAACCATCAACTTGAACATGAACAATTCTTCCTCTTTAGGGTAAACAGCTGATCATTTGAATCACCATAAGAGTTTACCCAAAACCTAATTCTAAATAGTTTTTTTATTCAAATTTGTAATGTTCTGTGCCAATCATTTTACACAGTGTCTTACCTGACCTGTCTTTCTCTTGTTCTTGACAGTACTGTATGTTACTTCCTCATTAGACTGTGTTAAAAGAGCAAAGGACAGAATTTGAACGGCAAATATGAACCAAAAGCCTGATGTGCAATTGTCCTTTTACAAAGAAGAAAATAGTATGAATAAGAATAAGAGTAGAGTAATAGTAATTATGACAATAAACATCATATGAAATAAGTGTGAATGTGCTGTCTACAGTGATTCATTGTAGCTTCAAAGGGACGGTACAGTAAAGTCTTATTTTATCTAGAATTGCTGCAGTGTTAAATTATGTTAATACCAATTTCCTTTCTTGTAAGATATTGTATTTGGAAAATAATTATCTATAATATCTTACAATTATTGTGGCTGGGGATTCTTCTTTGGTCTGTCCTAAAAGTGAAGCAATAAAAAATATTGTTAGTGACAATAATGCACAGTTTATCTGAATTAATAGTAAATATATTTATGATTACAACACAATAATAAAAATGCTATTATTTGGATTGAGCATAATTCGGCATAGACTTACTGTGCTTTTTGAACATAAACCAGATAAACATGGCCACCATAACAATGAAGATCAGCAAACTCAAAGGGATGATGAAGCTCTTTAAGTTCCCTGAAACACTGCGGCAGGAATAATAAATAAAAAACACAATGTAAATGACACATTTGTATAAACAGTCAACATTTGCATGATTCAAGAAAGTCTCTCACCTTTGCTGTTTACCCTCGACAGTGGAAAGTGGTTGGTCTGCAGAACTAGAGGTTTGCTTCACAGGCTCAGAGGTGGCAGGGACTTGTTAGCTGCAAGGTGAATGTCATGACATGTGGATATAGCTTTTAGAGTAAAATGACATTAATAATTGCTAAGATTTCAATTTTATTAAATAAATAAATTGCAAATGACTATTACCCAAGCACATATTGAAAATGTTATATTTTGAAAATTAAGAATGACTTATAACCTTACTAGTTGTAGGTTTCTCATAACAGTTATGTGCACCGGCAATCTGTAAGTCTCCTTTAACGCACAAATACCAGCCGCTGCTCTCCTGGTCCTCAGTTCCGCTCAGAGTCAACGAGAGAGAAGATCCAGGGACATTAATTCATGGGTACTCTTGAGGTTCTAACCATCCATTCGGCCGTGTCACCACAGGAGCCGTGCCCAGCCTGCCCACTTTCATATCTCCAGCGTTATAATAGTGATAATCGATGGGGGGTTAATTTCCTTCTTCCTCTGAATCTGTCGCGCTTCTGTTCATCCACATATAGATATGGAATTGCTCCTTATCGGAAACATAATTCAATGGGAACTTGTAAGCAGCCTAGTTGGTGCATGCTCCTGATGTTTAAATATATATTTAATAAAATTACATCTCGTAAAAGCATTATTTGAAAAGAAGAACGATGAAGTTATTGTAAAATCGAAGTGTTGAAATGTTACAAAAGATTAAAAAGTTAATAAATAGACTCTACCTCCAGTGACTGACAGATGGAAACGTGTTCCCAAATCTGGTCCATAATCAATCTCCACAGCACACCAGTAATAATCAGTGTCCTCTCCAGTCAGATCATTTATAGTCACAGTGAAGACTCTTTGTGTTTTGTCATCAGAGATTCGAAAACTTTCCTGAACTGCTTGGTTTGTTTGTTTTAACTTTATCAGAACAGAAGTCCAAGTAGATACTTTACACAAATATTTCACATTGTTTGTGTGCTTTGACTCATAGAGACACGGGATGGTGATCGAACCTCCAGCTCTCACTGACACTTTACTGACTGTAGTTATGCTGTGAATTCCTGCAACAAAAGCAAATACAGCATTTTTAAAAGTTAAATAAAAAATGGTCAATACTATTCCTTTAGATGGCTTACATAATGTTGATGTTCAAATTAGCTCATGTTTACAATAATTACATCATTAAAGCCTTCAAAATATTAGAAATTCCCTCTAGCATACACATAAAATATGTTTTTAAGTCTTGATTCTTGTGCCTGACCTGTAAGTCCAGTGAAGATGAGAAGAAAGCTCAGTTGAACCGTCATGTCTGGGAGTGAGTGAGTCAAGCTAAACCACATGAACACTATCACTGACAGACTGAGTCTTAGTTCCTTTTTTGCAACTCTTAATATCTTCCCTCCTCCTCCTTCCTCCTCCTCCTCCTCCTCCTCCTCCTCCTCCTCCAAGGCAGTCACACTTGTTAAATAATTTATATACTGTATATAAACTAGAGTTTATGCTATTTAAGTGTATGTGTTTTGTATGTACTTGTATATTATAATACAATACATTGTTTTTTTATTTAAGGTTACCTCATCTGCAGTTTTCTCACATGCTTAAAGGTGGGGTATGTAATTTTGGAGAAACCAGCTCGAGATCGCTAGAATTTGAAATACACAGCCGTAACAAAATCTGCCACTTCCTTATAGAGCCCCTCCTCCAACACACACGAACGCGCACATGACCAATGAGGGCACGAGATAAGTTTGTGCACCGATGGAAGGCTGACAGGCAGGTAGGCCATCCAGTTATTTTAGCCGGCCCGGCTAAAATAACTGGATGGCCTACCTGCCTGTCAGCCTTCCATCTGCCGGCTAAAATGATTGGTCGTGCTTTTTACAGTACTACGGCTTCCAAAGATGACATTTTTTTATGGATTTTTTTGTCAAAAGCACTTAAGATATTCATTGCTATCGGGATGTTAAGAGCATTCCATGGAATATAACAAAAGGTGTATCTCGAGCCGGTTTCTCAAAACTTACCCTACCCCACCTTTAACGTTTATATATTTTACTTTCTCTTCAGTTTGATGACGATTCAAAGCCAAATGTTGTTTTTAATATTTTATAAATAGATGTATAGTAAACCAGAATCTGATTAGAAGACCATGTGGACATCTTTGGGAAATATAGAAAAGCATGAATCACTTCTTATAAATACTACCTTTGTTAGGCGTACACGATCAGAGGAATTACCATGAAGGTTTACTAATATCTATGCATAGTACACTTTTAAAGTATAATTTACTGTAGACTTTGGGGGAAGGTCCAGAGGTTACAAATGTTTTAAACAAGAGACCATCAGTGACTAAAACATGTTTACTAATTAAAACATTACACTACAAGTAAATGCAAACTTTAAGCCATTGTATATTCAATTAAAAATACAAATAATAAAGCTTCAAATATAGGTTGTTATGTACATGTCTACATAAAAACACGTTTTCCATTTAAAAACTTGTGTTTCAGTAACCAAAGTGTAGACACATGCAAACTTAAGAATGTAAACGTTCCTAGATGTACCTGCTGCTTAAGGCAGACGTCACCGAGCATGTTCAACACAAAATGAGAGCAGTGGCCGTTCCTATAATCTTTTGAATGTGCGAGTCACCTATTCCTGAATGTCTTTCTTTCTATATGGAACTTCAGGCTTCTGTCAAACCCGCACAATTAATACAAAATGGAAAGATTTAGAAAACTGCAAAACTACATTATGAAAGTGACATTTCAGTCAGAAGAAATGATTAGACAAGAAGAGGGATAAGAGGAGGAAGACAACTGGCAGGTCAATTGTTTAATTATTGTTGGAGTATGTTTATTTTACTATTTAATATCATTAATTTACACCAAACATCACATAAAAAAACATTATGATAAAGACAACAATGACAATTAAAAGGTAATATTGTTGGGTTGTGAAACCTCATTTGTTGAAGAGTGTAAAGCGTTTGTTAATGCAAAAGAGAGGTTTGTTTGATGGATTTAGAAAAACAAACCTGACTCTTGAATGCAAGGTGATCGTGGGAAACTAGGCCCAAGTCAGTACTTTTTTAACACATGTTGCAGCTTTGTAGAAGAGGAGATAACTAAAAGCAGAAGGTACAAACCCTCAAAAAAAGAAGTACGAGGTTTCTGCAAAACCAAAGAGCACATGAAAGCAAGTTGCAACAACATCATTACAAAACAAAACTCCAGTGATACAGATGTAGGGTAGTGGTAACACATTCACAGGTTTCTCTGGAACTAAGGCAAGTTGCTGTATGTGACATCCTCATCTTCTGCTTCAACCTGTTGCAGAACAGAACACAACATGTAATAGCTGAAGAAATATCAAACATAAACCTACTTATTCAATACTAGCTGAAAAATGTAAAGTTGATTATATTGAAAGATAATTAATCTTAAATTGTTTGTTGAATTACTTGTGTATATTTTATGATTAAAATGATAATACATTAACCTATGAGCCTTTTAGTGCGCTCTTTTAGTGCTGTACGAGTTATGGTTTTAATGGTTAAGGGTTACCTCGTCTGAAGATGTTGTCACATATCTTACTTCCCCTTCAGCCTGTGTTGGAGAAAAGAGAAACGTCATTTACAGATGAGCTATTGTTAGATTTAATTAACAAGGCAAGTGTTTAAAGTACTCTATTAGGTTTTGTGGGACTACTTATGTGAGTTCAAATTGTTTTTACTGTACCTTTATGGGCTCAGAACAGTCTCATAATACACACATGCACACAGAAGGATTCACACTTGTATTTCCGGATCCACACTTGTGTTTTTTCAATGGACACACAAATGTGTTCCGTTTCATATACATGTAAATAAAATCCAAACACAGAAAAAAGTTTTACATATGTATTTTTGATCCACCATATTTGTTTACCGTTTTTAAAACCTCTGAACCTGCTAACACAAACCGCTTTCTGTGCATGGATCGCTGTGCATTCGTGTGTAGGTTTTTTGAGACTCCCCTGACGGTCACCCGATTTGTACTTGTAATTTCTTTCATCTATAGCCAATCAGATGTCTCCTCCAGTCTAAGCCAATCACATGAGCGGGTCCCCACGAGGGTAGGATTTCTTGCGTTCATGACACTTCATATACGCATTTTGCGCTGTCCGAGCAGGGTTTCCGCAGACAGAATTTATTTTACCGGACAAATTTGAAACTTACCGGTCATGTTTCAATAATATAATAATAAGAAGAAGAAGAATTGTGTAGCAGAGTTTCCGTTAGCAGGTAATTACCGGACTATGACCGGATATGGCTAATAACACGGGAGTAAGGATCATCTCTTTTTTCCTCTCTCCCCCCTCTCTCCTGACAGCCTGTCATGCAGCTCGCTAAAACTTCACTCACGTTTATGTCCATATCGATCAGATCCAGCTCTCCTGATCGGCCTTTATAGAGAGCACCGATCAAACTATTAAGAGTGAATATCGGCCGATAATGACCGGCGGGGCTCCCCCATTGACAGTTCACTGTCTAGCACTGGCTTCGTAGTGCACTGATCGATTAGGCTAAGCTAACCTGTAGCTGCTCCCTCCACACTCACAACAACTTCATACAAACATAAATAAAGCAGCTGTATTCGCCATACAGGAAACACACATTTAAAACGGTTTTGCCTGCCGTTTTTATGTACACAAGCATTCATTAATGGTTCGGAAAGTGGCACTGTACCTTAATAATATAAAGGCTTGTATTTGCGTGCATTTCCTGCTCGGAAAGTGGCAATGTACTGAGAGTGGAAGTGTCCTGAGATTAGCGCCTGCAGGCAGGCTCCATGGACCTGTCAGCTCCGGACAGCGCACAATGCGTACATGAAGCGCTACGTCATGAACGCAAGCAATCTACCCTCGTGGGGGCGCGCTCATGTGATTGGCTTAGAATCTATAGATAGAAAAATGACAAGTACGAATCGGGTGACTGTCAGGGGAGTCTCAAAAAACCCACACACGAATGCACAGCGATCCATGCACAGAAAGCAGGTTGTGTTTGCAGGTTCAGAGGTTTTAAACGGTAACAAATATGTGAGGATCAAAAATACATATGTAAAACTTTTTTCTGTATTTGGATTTATTTACATGTATATGAAACGGAACACATTTGTGTGTGCATTGACAAACACAAGTGTGGATCATGAAATACAAGTGTGAATCCTTCTGTGCATGTGTGTATTATGAGACTGTTCTGAGCCCATATACCTTCTTAACAACAATAAATAGTATAAAATCAATCAATTACTATGGGCTCAGAACAGTCTCATAATACACACATGCACACAGAAGGATTCACACTTGTACTCCGTTTAAAAACCGCTGCACCTACAAACACAAACCGCTTTCTGTGCATGGATCGCTGTGCATTCGTGTGTGGGTTTTTTGAGACTCCCCTGACGGTCACCCGATTCGTACTTGTAATTTGTTCTATCTATAGCCAATCAGATGTCTCCTCAATTCTAAGCCAATCACATGAGCGCGCCCCCACGAGGGTAGATTTCTTGCGTTCATGACGTAGCGCTTCATGTATGCATTTTGCGCTGTCCGGAGCTGACAGGTCCATGGAGCCTGCCTGCAGGCGCTAATCTCAGGACACTTCCACTCAGTACATTGCCACTTTCCGAGCAGGAAATGCATGCAAATACAAGCCTTTATATTATTAAGGTACAGTGCCACTTTCCGAACCATTAATGAATGCTTGTGTACACAAAAAACGGCAGGCAAAACCGTTTTAAATGTGTGTTTTGTATGGCGAATACAGCTGCTTTATTTATGTCTGTATGAAGTTGTTGTGAGTGTGGAGGGAGCAGCTACAGGTTAGCTTAGCCTAATCGATCAGTGCACTACGAAGCCAGTGCTAGACAGTGAACTGTCAACGGGGGGAGCCCCGCCGGTCATTATCGGCCGATATTCACTCTTAATAGTTTGATCGGTGCTCTCTATAAAGGCCGATCAGGAGAGCTGGATCTGATCGATATGGACATAAACGCGAGTGAAGTTTTAGCGAGCTGCATGACGGGCTGTCAGGAGAGAGGAGGGAGAGAGGAAAAAAGATGATCCTTACTCCCGTGTTATTAGCCATATCCAGTCATAGTCCGGTAATTACCTGCTAACGGAAACTCTGCTACACAATTCTTCTTCTTCTTATTATTATTATTATTGAAACATGACCGGTAAGTTTCAAATTTGTCCGGTAAAATAAATTCTGTCCGCGGAAACCCTGCTCGGACAGCGCAAAATGCGTAAGTGTCATGAACGCAATAAATCATACCCTCGTGGGGACCGCTCATGTGATTGGCTTAGAATGAAGGAACATCTGATTGGCTATAGATAGAAAAAATTACAAGTACGAATCGGGTCACCATCAGGGGAGTCTCAAAAAACCCACACACGAATGCACAGCGATCCATGCAAGAAAGCGGTTTGGTTTGCAGGTTCAGGGGATTTAAACGGTAAACAAATATGTGAGGATCAAAAATACATATGTAAAACTTTTTTCAGTATTTGGATTTTATTTACATGTATATGAAACGGCATTTGTGTGTGCATTGAAAAACACAAGTGTGGATCCGGAAATACAAGTGTGAATCCTTCTGTGTGCATGTGTGTATTATGAGACTGTTCTGAGCCCATACATTTCAATGATGTCCTCTCTACCTCCAAATGTAATGTCCTTCCTCCTCCTCTTCCTCCTCTTCCTCCTCCTCCTCCTCCTCCTCCTCCTCCTCCTGTAAGACAGTCACAATTGTTAAATAATTTATATTCTGTATATAAACTAGAGTTTGCTGTTTCACCACAGCTCAATTTAACAGTTTTGCTTAATTTAATTACAAATGTATATGGTATATAACACTTGTGTATGTGTTTTGTATGTACTTGTATATTATAATACAATACATGTTATTTTATTTAGGTTTACCTCGTCTGCAGTTTTCTCACATGCTTAACATTTTATATTTTACTTTCTCTTCAGTCTGATAACGATTCAAGCCAAATGTTTTTTTCTTGTTTATAAAATAGATGTATAGTAAACCAGATCTGATTAGATACCATGTGGACATCTTTGGGAATATAGAAAAGCATGAAGCACTTCTTATAAACTACCTTTGTTAGGCGTACACGATCAGAGGAATTACCATGAAGGTTTACTAATATCTATGCATAGTACACTTTTAAAGTATAATTTACTGTAGACTTTGGGGGAAGGTCCAGAGGTTACGTGTTTTAAACAAGAGACCATCATGGACTAAAACATGTTTATTAATTAAAACATTACAGTACAAGTAATTGCAAACTTTAAGCCATTGTATATTCAATTAAAAATACAAATAATACAACTTCAAATATAGGGTGTTATGTACATGTCTACATAAAAACACGTTTTCCATTTAAAAACCTGTGTTTCAGTAAACAAAGTGTAGACACATGCAAACTTAAGAATGTAAACTTTCATCAATTAACCTGCTGCTTAAAGCGGACATCAACCTTCAGCATTTTGAACAAGAAACAGAGCAGTTCTTATAATCTTTTGAATGTACAAGTCACCTATTGGTGAATGTCTTTCTTCTATATTGAACCTCAAAGAATGTGTCAAAAAATAAAAAAATTAAAAGACAATTTATAAACACTGCCATTATGGAAGTGACATTTCAGTCGGAGCAGATGATTAGACAATAAGAAGAAGAAGAGGAGGAGGAAGACAACTGGCAGATCAATTGTTTAATTATTCTGGTTGCATGATTCTTTTTTAAATTAAATATCATTAATTTTACACCAAACATCACATAACAAACATTATAGTAAAATAAAGTTTTTTTTGGTTCTGAAACATCATTTTTTGAAGAGTGTAGAAAGCTTTTGTTAATGCATAAGTAAGGTTTGTTGGATGGATTCTTTAAAAACAAACCTGACTCTTGAATTTAAGGTGATCGTGGGAAACTAGGACCAAGTCAGTACTTTAAAATATATTTAGCAGCTGTGTAGAGGAGATAACTAAAAGCAGAAGGTGCAACCCTCAAAAAAAGAAGTCAGAGGTTTCTGCAAAACCAAAGAGCAGATGATAGCAAGTTGCAACAACGTCATCACAAAAGAAGTTCCAGTGAATCAAGGGTAGGGGTAATATTCTCAAGTTTCCTGGAACTAGCCATGTTGCTGTTTGTTACATCTTCTGCTTCAACCTGTTGGAGAACAGAATACAAAATGATTTAACTGAAGAAATATCAAAGAGAAACTTGACTTATGCAATACTAGCAGCTGAACATTTGAAAGTTGATTATTTTGAAAGTTAAAATACATTAACCTATATGCTCTTTCGTGCACTTATTTTGTGCTGTACAAGTTATGGTTTTAATGGTTAAGGGTTACCTTGCCTGAAGATGTTCTCACATATCTTACTTCCTCTTCTGCCTGTGTGTTGGAGAAAAAGAACGTCATTTACAGATGAGATGTTGTTAGATTAAATTAACAAATCGTTTTTACTGTATCTTCTTAACAACAGAAATGTACAGTATGAAACCATAGTAAACATAAACAATGTAACATGACCTTCTCTTTACTTCCAAACCAGAAGGCCTATCAGGGAACAGTCACATTGGGAAATGAATCCACTATGTTACCGTTGTGGCTGATGATTCTACTTTTATCTGCTCTAAAAGGGAGAGAATAAAAACAACTGTTACTGACTCCTAATTTTTTTGACAACAGCAATGTACATTTGTCCTTATTTCAAAATAATTATTGCCCAAAAAACTGAAATTGCTAATACAAACTGTTTAAAAAGAAAATGTTACTGAATATTACGGTATCTTTTGTATATACACCAGATGAACACGGTCACCATAACAACGAAGATTACCACAGCCACGCGGATACCAAAGTTCTTAAAATGTTCATAAGGACTGCAGCAGGAAATTATAAGCACCCAGATTATTGTTAAAGAATGACAGGATTGTTTAACAACATAGTCTAAAATGTACTCATCATCCTGGTCATACTGCGTATTACACTATACTGTTTTACTAAATCCTATAAAGTTTTTCTAAGTAATTGTACAGTACATTGTGTAATGCGAGTAAAACATATATAGAGATTTCCCCACAATTGTTTTTTTTATCATAAAATGGCAACTTTTCTCCAAACACTGTATGTAATGAAAAGGTTCCTGACCTTGTGTGCCCACCCTGAGCTATTACTCCTGTAACACGACAAAATAGAATGTTAATATTCTCACTCAAATCAACACAAAGATTGATGCATTTGAAGATTCAATGTACTTATAACACTTACTAGTTGTCGGTTTCTCAGTAAGAGTTATGTGCACTGGCATCTGCACCACTTCCTTTCTCCAGAGTTTTGACAGTGACACTTGATGTTTATGTTATCTCCTTTAAATCCTGTCATCTCTTGCTGATCCACGTAGAGACTGGGTGTACCTTAATGGAGAACATCATTCATTGAAACTCGTGAGCAGCGTGGTTAGTACATGCTGCTGATGTTTCAAATATGTTTGGCATATATTTACATCTGGTGAATTTGAGAAAATTAGGTAATTGTAATATTAAAGTGTTGATATTTCACAAAAGATTTGAAAAGGCGTAATTGGGCTCTTACCTCCAGTGACTGACAGGTGGAAATACTCTTTGAGATCTGCTCCATCTTTAATCTCCACAGCACACCAGTAATATTCAGTGTCCTTATCAGTCAGGTCATTTATAGTCACAGTGAAGACTCTTTGCTGTTTGTCATCAGAGATCGAAAACTTTCCTGAACTGCTTGGTTTGTTTGTTTTAACTTCATAAGAACAGAATTCCCAAAGATGTCCTTTACACAAGTATTTCACATGGTTGCTGTACTTTGACTCATAGAGACATGGGACAGTGATCGAACCTCGAGCTCTGACTGACACTTTACTGACTGTAGTTATGCTGTGGATTCCTGCAACAAGAGCAAATTATTTTAAATGTTTTCTCTGCATATTTTAGATGTTAATAGCAGTTTTAAATATTAGGTCACTTTTGTCGTAATTATAAATGAAAGACAAAAGTGGAGAATGTTAGTTTAATTGACATTTTTCTTAATCATCATCTTCTGACCGTTAAATGGATATGATGCCATTTTCACAAATTTAAAATGATTTCTGTCACTGACCTGTAAGTCCAGTCAAAATGAGAAGGAAGCTGAGGTGAACAGCCATGTCCGTTTGTGAGCTAAAAAAGAAAAATTATGAGGGTCTACTTCCTTATTTTCTAAATATGAAAACGCAGCAGTTCAAATCTGGGTACCTCCTACAGTGAATACGTTGCCTGTGATTGGTTCATTGTTTTATATATATGCAGTTAAACAATACCCAAACCAATAATAGCCTCAGTGTAGCATCATGAATACAACAAATCACCACTCCAGGTGGATTTATTTAAAGCATGTTAGTAACAACATCAAATGAATAATACGATTTGCATTTGTTTAACGTAACTGAGTTGAGTATCAGAAATATCATGAACAAATAAGTATGCTTCCTTCTATCCAAAGTGAAGGACAGAGACACACAGTATGTAAAAAACTAATTGGTAAAAGCTGTTGAAAAATCCTAAGAAATAATATGCACCTGGGTCCTTTTAGAGTTATATGTATACAAAACAGCAAGCTCACCAGTGCACTTAAAAGACTTTACATATTCAACCTTTTTATACTTTACATATCTGTGGTTTTATAGCCTTGTGGTGCAAGAAAGTGGATGTCTGACTGAGTCAAAAATGAACCCTTTTGAGCAACCACAAGGCTAGAAAACCACAGATTCCTCCGTAGAAATGACACATGTGACATAAGAGACGATAATTTAGCTGTATTGAGTTAGATTCTAATGGGTGGTTGCTCGAAAAGCTAAATATAAATACATTTTCTGAGATTAACGCATGAATACAAATATACTGTAGTAAAATATCTGTATTTGCATAGTTGTCAATGTTTGTGTATGAAATGGAGGGTTAAAGAAGGGTGAGACAACTAGTGATGCAAAGGAGAAGAAGTTTCTGCACAACCAAATGATAAAAGCAGACGATGACGTGTAACACTCTCGTCTAGTAAGAATAGCTGTCTGCTCACAGAGAGATAAAAAGATTAACAGACAGACAAACATTTTCATTTTCTGTTAGTGCTGAGCCAACGTGCTGTACGTAACATCATCATCTTCTGCTTCAACTTGGAGAACAGAAGCAAAATTACGATTAGAAATTCAGAACAGTCAACCAGACAAGTGTTAACATTTGACAAATAACCATTTTGAAATGTTCAAACTAAATGGATGGAAATGACTAAAAGAGAAGTGAGAAACATTTCTTATAAAATGTATAAAAAGGAAAAAAGTGTTTACATTCTGTTGCTTTATGGGAATCACGGAGCTGTAGGTCACGTCCACATCACTTCCAGCATATGACCTCTGGATAGGGGACAGATATTAAACAATAAATAAAACCCTTTCCATCAACTATATTATTTAACCTGCCTTGTCATGGTTTAAAGGCCAAACAATTCACAATAAAATGACATGGCACTCTCTTTTTACACTATTAAAATGCAATTATTGTAATGGCAAAATGTTTAGTGTTGGTGTTACCTGGCTTGATGTTTTCGTCATGATTCCAACATTACAATATGTTACGTCCTCTTCAGCCTGTTTTGAAGAAGGAAATGTCTTTCAAAACCTATACTCTCAAAAACTATACTCTTCTGGAAATGTACTGCATTGTGTGAGATATTACCTGGCTTGAAGACTTTCTCTTGGGCCTAACATTGCAGTAGATGACTTCCTCCTCAGCCTATATTGAAGGAGCAGAGCTAATGTCAGAGGACGTTCTCAAATCCTGCTTTTATTACAGTTTTCAAAAGCATAAAACAGAACATATCTACAGTTTATTAAATTAGAATCTGCTACAACATGCGGTTTGCATGTCAAAAGTAACAGTATTTTCTTTAAAAATGTTACGAACTGGTTACTTTTACAATTATATTGAAATCACTGAAGCAAAAATGAACATTAATGCACTTTTATCTCTACGCTGTAAATCTTTATAGCCTAATACATAATAATTCATGGTATTTAATTTTAGCGCTTTACATTACATTATTATATAAGACATGTAATACATTTCATACTGTGGACAATACCCACAGGAGCCATTTGAAATAAATACATAAGATAAAAATACCATGCATTCATTGAGAATTGTATTTATATCTTACTGGTGTTGCATCTGATGATTCTGCTTTATTCCATTCTAAAAGTGAAACAGAAAATGAACAGTGCACTTCAATCGAAACTCAAAGGAAATATATTTTAAAAATAGAAAAGTATTTGTCAAGAATAGGATGTTCTTCAGACTTTGACTTACTGTGTTTTTTCAACATGAACCAGATAAGCAAGGCCACAATTACAACGGAGATCAGCTAAATCAGACTGATGATGAGGCTCTCTATGTCAAATGAAGCCCTGCGGAATACAGGTAAGCGCACACAACACCCAATTATTTGAGATACAGTATTATACCCTGTTTTAGTTTCAACTATTGGTCTCAGATATAAATAATGTATTTTAAAAAGGCAAAGAGTGCTTTACAATGAGTTTAATTTGACCATAAAATGGCCATTGCTTTTTGAATACTGCATGTAAATGCAAAAACTGACCTGTACTGTTCATTCTTGACTATGGTAATAGCTTTGTCTGGGTGGATGTGATTGAGAGTGGTTGGAAGTATTGTTGTTGGAAGTGTGGCTATAATTCATGACAGAACAATGATTAGTAAAGGTATATGGCAGTATACGTATCCTTTCTAAGGATAGGGTTAGGGTACGACATTTTCAAATGGCTGGTACCTGGCATACATTGTATACTCTACTAGTGGGTCTATCAGTAACTGTGACAAGCACCGGCATCTGTAAGTTCTCCCTTTAACGCACAAATACCAGCACTGCTCTCTGTCCTCAGCTCACTCATCGTCACAGTGAAGACAGAGAGCAATCTCACATTGATGGAGACTCTTGTTCCATCTATTGATCCAGACGTCTTTGTCACACAGGAGCGGCCCAGCCTGCACCACTGAATCTTTCCAGAATTTTTATAGTGACACTTGATGTTTATGTTATCTCCTTTAAATCCTGTCATCTCCTGATGATCCACGTAGAGATGTGGTCTACCTTAAGGGAGAACACATTCAATATAGATTTATAGGTAGCCTAATTACTTGATATACAATAGATTTGTAGATTGACATGTTTTGCATCTACAGAAGTTACATCTGGTAGAGAACAAGGTCTTATGATTGTATCTCATTACTTTTAATAAAACGTTTTTGTTGCAAAATGACGATGCTTCTTAGGGATTTTCTACCATAATTGACTTTGAGAGCTCATGCACACGTTAAATATCCTGATTGTTCAGGAGGATAAAGATCGAAGGATTTAAGCGTTGAGATTAACAATAAAGAAAAAATCTCTTTGATCCATCTCATTGTAAAATATCAGGATTAATTATTTAAAAATGTGTCAGAGATGGAGTACTCGAGTCCTGGACTCGGACTCGAGTCGGACTCGAGTGCCGATTTTCGGGACTCGTGACTCGACTCGGACTCCCGCACTGATTGACGCGACTCGGACTTGGACTCGTGAATTCTCGCGCACGATGACTGGACTCGGACTCGGACTCGTGAATTCTCGCGCACGATGACTTGGACTCGGACTCGGACTCGTGAATTATCGCGTACGCTGACTTGGACTCGGACTCGGACTCGTGAATTTTTCCCCCCATGATGACTCGGACTCTACTTGTACATTGACGCTCCGACTTGGACTCGGACTCGGACTCGAGCAAGTTTTCTATGGAGTCTGATGTCCTCTATCCTGGCGTGTGCAACCGGCTGCGAGGCGAGTTCACGTACTGGGCCCCGCTATTCCAGTCTAAGATGTCTAGAGACACACCCCGCATCGTGCTGTATGCTTTCACACATTCTGCTTCCACATTGGAAAGAGCAGCGCAAAATGCTCTATGTGGAAACAATATTGAAGAGAAGGCTTCGTAACACATTACTCTAAACATCGAGTTCAGACATATAGGCTGTCTTGAACACTATCATCAGAGTAACGTCATCTAATCAATACATAAAGATTCAGCCGATAACACGAAAGCATATGGCTACTTAACATGCAGAATGACGTCATTTTGCATGCTAAGTAGCCATGTGCTTTCTGGGGCTAAATCTTTATCAGTAAACCGATTTAACCGGTAAAAGTTCCTTCAAAATAAGAGTCCCGATCTTATTACTATCAAAATAAAAGTGCAAAACGAAAACTTTACCATAGGAAAATATTGGCATACAAATATAATCACTTCTCTAAAAGGTAACTCATTTTAAACATAGTTTATATATAATAATAATATTAATATTAGTAATAAGCTTTATATTTGTATAGCACCTATTACAAGAATTGTAGCCAAACTGGCTTCACAGCAGTTCAATAGACAGATTAGTATAACATGACAGGATAAAAGCAATGTAGAGGAGCAGCTACATTTCAACACATATATCCATGAAGATTAATACATGAAGACTTGTGACTCGGACTTGACTTGGACTCTTCTTAGGTGACTCGGACTTGGACTCGGACTCGAACACAGGTAATGATGACTCGGACTCGACTTGACTCGGACACTCCTTGGGTGACTCGGACTTGGACTCGGACTCGAACACAGGTAATGATGACTCGGACTCGGACTCGACTCGGACATTCCTTGGGTGACTCGGACTTGGACTCGGACTCGACTACGACTCTCCCTTGGTGACTCGGACTTGGACTCGGACTCGAAGAGTGGTGACTCGAGAGTGACTTGGACTCGTAAATTGGTGACTTGACTACAACACTGCATTAAGTAACATAATAAATTGTATTTGTATGAAATAAAACATTGTAACCCAACAAATGCCTGCCTTTTTGTGTCATCTACTGACATGTGAATTGGCTCAACCATTTTTAAAATGACCAGTTACTGACCGGTGAGTCCAGCGAGGATGAGAAGAAGTGTGAGGTGAACAGCCATGTCGGTGAGTGAGCAGTCAGACAACATACACAGGACCCAAGGCAGCGACAAGCATTTCTATTTCCTAATCTTTTATATGCAACAATTACAATTGTTCTTCTTTTTAAGTGAGTTCCTCACATAAGGTGATGAAGTAATTATTGCTTTATGTCAGTAAAACCCATTTCCTCTGACACAACACGTCTTGCAAACTAAAGCCTGGAAACGATTTGTGAACATTAAAATGGATGAATTGGAAACTGTCTTTTTTCATAGCAGCCATTTTGACTTGAAAAGTGCAGATTGTAACATTAGTAAAGGTTATTTTAAGTATCCAAAAAGGCCATGACTGTGTGTTACAGTGAGGCAGCATGCACAATACCAGGACTCTGAAACTGAAGCAGCTCAATTTAATTCAGCCATTATTCATTTTACCTAAAAATGCAAACTGACTAACAAACTGAACAGCAATGCTGTAAAAGGGAAGCTTTGAACATTAAAAGATATTAACTGATTCGACCCTTAAGGTGGCAGTATAGTGCTATTTAAAAAAATGTATAACATCAGGTTGTCTGATGGCAGCAAATAAGTAGTGGGTGGTATTTCAAGACAATATAATATTGAATAGTATTAATATAGTACAGTTAGAAAAATATACACATTGAAATCTGAAACAAGGATAGGAGATTACATTTTATTAAATATAATTACAAATGTTTGTAAATGCACTTTGAGTCAAGATGACTTACTATTGTGTGCATTAGGCCTAACAAATAATACTGTTAACATGTTGACAAGAGTTTCGTCAAACACAGGGAAATGCTTCTTCGTAATGTTAGCAGAAGAGGTAAAGTAAGGCCATGGTTTAAACAAGGTGAAGAAATAGAGAGAGGTGACCTCACGGCTTACATAATAACATCAGACAACACATGGTGACGCCAGTTCTCCAAATAATACCAATAACCAGACTAGTTTACAAGATAAATAGACAAGCAGTGGTTACATATGCTAAGTTGTGCTGGAGCTAAGCCAATGTGCTGTATGTGACGTTCTTGTCATTCGCTTCATCCTGTTGAAAAGAAAGAAGTGAAAAAAGAATGAAAACAATGAAAGAAAAACAAAAAAGGATTTTTTCCAAATTAAAAAAGGGCCAAAAATCAAGTGAGGAAACAACTAAATTAATTAATAAAAACAGTAAGTGACAGTCAGTGTGAAACCTTCTTAATATTTACCTTTGGTACATGTTGCTGCTTCATGGGGATCACAGAACTATATACCACGTCCACCGCACTCTCCGCAGGTGAACTCTGTGTTAGGAAGGTGACACAGTTATAAACTTCAGTTTTTGATTAATCACAAATTATTTTATTTGTTTTAAGATAGATGTACTAAGTGTATCAATGAGCCTTTTAGTATTTTACTTGACGCACTGGTTGGATCATAGAGATGCTCAACATGATTATGAATATGAAATACCTGTATGCCCTGTAGAATATGCAGTACAGATAAAGAAAGGGATAGTACATTATATGAAAATGTTACATCTTGATATTCTGCAGTGATGGATTACCTGGCTTGAAGTGTTTCTCTTGTGCGTAACAGTACTGTATGTTATTTCCTCTTCGGCCTGTGTTAAAGGAGAGGGAAAAAAAGACTTCACATGAAATGTTCAGAAATGCAATTTCAACTTTGTGTAACCCAGTTTCAACCAAATCAACAAAAATGTAGGTACAATAAAGTAAAATAATATTCATGATAAGAACGATTACCCTAATTAGGATACTGTTGAGTTAGATATTTTAAAATGGTTACAGTATTCTGTATTTAATCTCATAGACATATTAGTTGTGTATCTGCAATTGTAAAAGATCCGCCCACTGAACATTTGCAAAGGTAAAGTATGTTCTCTGAAGACTTTACATTGCATTTTAACCACAATTGACTACTTCTAAGTTTCGACTTACTGCAGTTCCTTATTGCGTTCTTTGGAAAACATTTTGAAATAAAAAAAGGTGTTCTTACCACTGTCACGGTCGATGCCGCTTCTTTTGTCTGCTCTAAACATGACACAGGAAACACTTCTGTTACTCTCAATGCACACTAGACTATATTACAAAAATAAAAGCACAAACATATTTGATATGACTTGGATTAATCAAAGATCAGAAAAGACTTACTGTGTCTTTTCAACATAAACCAGATGAACACGGTCACCAGTACAATGAAGATCAACAAGCTCAAAGGGATGGTGTAGGCCTTCAGATCCACGGGCACACTAAAGCAGGAGTAAATCAACAAATGCAAACAATGAAAAGTAATTGGTTATTTTAATCCTAGAATGGCAAATTCTCAATATCAAAGTCTTCTCACTGTTCATCCTGATCTTTGGAATTATTCTTATCTGAAAAAAAACAAAGGTGAGATTCACACACTCACTACTGGATGATATGGTTAAAATGCTTGTTGCTGAAAGCTATATCCAAACAATAAAATAATAAGTAGGGTAAAATAGCAGTTCCACAAACAAATAGACACACTTATAACATTTGACACTTGTTGTACTTACTAGGGTTGTTTTCAGTAACACTTATATGCACTGGCATCTGTAAATCTCCTTTAACACACAAATACCAGCCGCTGCTCTCTGTCCTCAGCTCACTCATCGTCACAGTGAAAACACCAGAGACATTCGCGCTGATGGTGAATCCTGTTCCATTTATTGATCCAGACTTTGTCAAACAGGAGCCGCCCAACCTGCACCACTTCATTTCTCCAGAGTTATGGAAGTTACAATTGATGGCTATCGGGCTCCCTGTGGATCCTGTAATCTCCTGATTACTTATGTCTAGACTGGGTGTATCTTAAGAGAAACAAAAAAGAGGGTAGCCTCATATCAATGAAACAAACAATGACACGCTGCGTACAGCTTTTCCTCCAAATTGTTAATATTTCACAAAGGGTTCACTTACTTGTGGTGACTGATAGTTTAAAATACTTTCCTTCATCTCCTCCTCCATTAATCTCCACAGCACACCAGTAATCAGTGTCCTCTTTAGTCAGATGATTTATAGTCACAGTAAAGATTTTTAGTATTTTGTCATCAGAGATGGAAAACTTTTTTTTTTTTTGGTTTGTTTTAATCGCGTAAGAGCAGGAGTTCCAATAATATCCTTTACACAAGTATTTCACATGGTTTATGTACTTTGACTCATAGAGACATGGAATGGTGATCGAACCTCCAGCTCTCACTGACACTTTACTGACTGTAGTTATGCTGTGAATTCCTGCAACAAGAGCAAATACAGCATTTTACTGCACATATAGCCACACAATGTACAATTTCATTTAAATATTCACAGAGTTGTGTGTTGATTACTCAGTCCATTGTTATCTGATATAACCAGCTCACAAAATTAAATGACTGCTGACTGACCTGCAAGTGCGCTGAGAGAGAGAAGAACTCGGAGAAGGACATCCATGTTGGTGAGTGAAAGTGAAGTAAGACAAAACAACATGAAATTATGCGCTCAGTCCTTTTCTACTTCCTGATTTTCCTAAACGTGCAAATGCAAGAGATTAAACGTCCTTCCTCTTCCTCTTGTCTGGCCGTGACGATAACTTAGTTGGATGATGAAGCAAAGATTGCTACAGCTTAATTTTGCCTTGAATATTAGAGAACATTAAACCTGAGCAAAGGACAATAATAAAGGCTAGATGTAGTTATGATGTACATTTTTACATTTTCTGTTTTTATTTGCACAGTAATGAAGCGTTACACTTCCCATACATTATCAAAACATACATTTCGCACAAGGTTCCCAAACAAATATATATTTTACATTATTTTAGCTCATTGGGAATAGTAAACCACATCCCCAAGCAAATCCTATAGTTGTCGTACTCGACTGAATACGAGATTATTATGTTGTACTGTTATACTGGATTATTGATTAAAAGGATAATATAATCAGATATTGTTAACATTAGAGCTGCAATGAAAGTCAATTGACAGGAACATATATTGGTTAATTGTTTAAATAAGTTTTAGCCACTCAAATACAGCAATTTCACTGTTGCATATCAAATCTAACTGAATGTCTTTTGGTTATAGATGGACAACATGGACTTTGGGAAAGACTTTTGGGATGGACATTTTATACTATTTTCTGACAAATTAATCAGAAAGACAAATAATGTGTTGGTTGCAGCCCTAGTAGCAATATGTAAAGTATCTTGTTTAAAGCCAAAGTGTAAAGGAGGATTAGGGATGATAATTATAAAAAGATTATTTTCTAGATCATGATTTTATTCAATGGCAAGATGGTCAATTCATATTTGGAGAAGCTGCAACAAGAGTTAAACCTTTAACTCACCCACTTCCTGATTTTGGTAAATTTAATCTGTCTGATCTGCTTTTTTGGTCGCAATAGAAATGTTTGCTCCTACCCAATGTGTCAAACCGAAAGTGACAAATGTTGAACATCACACTTTTACTTTTAGAGTCTGAACACACTGCCACAGTGCTGCTCTTGACTTGAAACATTTACATGTGGGGGACACATTATTTGTATGTGTGCAGGGTTTCACAAAACATCCTCTGTAAATGAAAGTCTCTGAATTGCACACGTCTCTAATACGGGATTGCTGGGTTGCTTGGTTTATCCATAATACCAATGTGTAACCATACTTGCATTAATAAAGTCTTCCCATCTTTTCTGCCAATGAGTATGTATTTTTATTTTAGTTTGTAGAGTGCTGTAGATCACACCTCCATCTACTGGTTCAGTCTGATGAGAGAAAACAAACACAGAGAAGAGAATGCTGAAAACCATTGGACTGATCATGACAACAATAACAATCCATTTTAATTATTTTTGACATATTGAGATGCCTGTTGAAAGTAATACCATACCATTTGTCACACACTACGGTTCAATACAATGGTACTGTAAGTGACAGTCTCTTCGGGTATATTGTTCTGCTGGATGAGAAACAAATATATACGTAGGCAAATGTGTTTTAAGGAAGCGCTCTCTTTATTGCTTCTTTAAATAAAACAAGACCATCTGGTTTACCTTCTGCTGCGATGCTGCATCTGGATTATGAAAAATAGTAGCATAGTGCACATCAGGAACTTCTGCACCCTATGGGGGATACATTTCAAATGTGTCACTTCTCATCACATCTTCCATTGTTAGGTTACAGTTTCTGCCATCTCCTGTGTTAGCGCACAAGTGAGTAAGATTATTAATGATTAATCACTATACAAATGGTTGGAAATAAAAATCTTACCCCAGTAATGACAGGCACTTCGGTCTTGGTCTTATCTACAACACATTATGTTTGAGATCATATTAAAAATACATATTGTATTCCTGAATTGGTAAGCAGAGTTAACAGCAAACTTACAACGCTTTTTCTTCATTCTCCATCCAAGAAAGGCAGTCGGAACAACCAACAGCAGTAAGACGAGGGTTGTGGGGAGAATCCATACCAAAGTGGAGCTAGAAGAGAAATGCAGATCACATTTATATTTAACAAAAAAATAAAAGGGGTCAACTTTTTTTATCAAAACGTATGTCAGCCTAGGCATTGACACAATTTGTTAATTTAAATGTATAAAACAGACTAGAGAATGTGCTTTAATATATATAAGAAAAACATTACTGCTAAAGACTCAAATTATAAAGAAGCAAATAATGAATAACATGCAAAGATATGTGATTTAGTATTTTGAGTAGGTACACAGCATATCAGGTGTGTTGTATTAGAAGATACGTAAAATGAAAAGAGGGTTATGTATAAATGTACGCAATGTGATCTAGTCCAAGAAAGCTTTAAAAATTAATCATGAGTACTGACCTCTTGTTTTTATCTTGCAGGCTCTCTCCGCCTGTCCCGATTACGGTGGAGAAGGAGGGCTGTACTGTAGGTGGCTCTGCACTCGAGAACAGGGAGGCATTCTGGGTAGTGGTTTGAAGTGTCGCTGTAAAATGTTAAAGTAAATACATGTAAAAACACATTGTTGATAATATCAATGTCATTTTTAAACTGCATTTTGTGCATTAATATACCGTGATTCCCACATTTTCAAGGTACATTCAATTAATGTATTATTTTCTGTCAAATTAACAAGCATTGTTTCCAGGTTTAGGTATCTATTTTATTAAAATAGAAAAGGTTTAGTGTCTTACTTGCTGTACTGGTGCTTATTGTAGTTGAAGTAGTTGGAGTAGTTGAAGTAATTGAAGTAGTTGAAGTAGTTGAAGTTAACTCATGAACAGTTATGTGCACTGGCATTTGTAATTTTCCTTTAACACACCAGTACCAGCCGCTGTTCTCTGTCTTCAGTCCACTCATCGTCACGGTGAACACATTTGAGACGCTCTTGTTGATGGTGACTGTTGCTCCATCTATTGATCCAGTCTGATCCGACACACATGTGCTGCTGCTGCTGTCCAGCCTGCACCACTTGGTTACTTTTTGATTTTTAGAGTGGCACTTGACAGTCACACTTCCTCCTTCAAATGCTGTGATTTCCTGTTCGTCCACGTGAAGACTTGGCATACCTTGAACAAATTACAACATCGTTTTTCACTAAAAGGATATTAACTCTGTGTTTAAAACATTCAATAGATTATACCTGTGGTGACTGACAGCTTGAAACGTCGTCTGACATCACTGTTTTTTTTCTCGATAGCACACCAGTAGCTTTCACCATCATCCTTTGGATTATGAATAGTGACTGTGATGATACCTTGGGTTTGGTCATCAGAGATTGAAAACTGATTCGAATTATCTGGGTTGTTCGTTTGAACTACACAATCACATGTGAGCCACCATTTTCCTTTACACAAGTATTTCCCATTATCTTTGAATTTCAAGTCATATAGGCATGGGATGGAGATGGGATCTCCAGCCTTCACTGATACTTCACTGACAGTTATTATGCTTTGAATTCCTGCAACAAGAACAAATACAGCATTTTAATGAATATACCCATTAATAATGATCTCCCTTAAGATAGCCTCCGTATTGTGACAGACATTTCACTCAACTTTATATTCCTTACAAAACAACAGCAGACAGACACTCAAATATAGTGGTGCATTCAAATACATTTTGTTTATCACCATCATCACATTGGATTACAGCTGACGTTTTTATCCAAAAAGACTTACAATAAGTGCATCAGTTACAGGTTAGTGAGTAACATAGCAACAAAACACATCTGTTAAATGTTTTTACCACAACATTAATCATTAATATTTGTGGCTTGTTTTAATGTTTAATGTTGACTGAAATTGTACAACTCTATCTATACACTGTGGAGGTGGTGGGAGACAGGAGAATGGCAGCCAAGCTGTCCTCCCTGCTGGACAATGTGTCCCACCCCCTCCAGGACACCATGTCCTCACTGTGCAGCTCTTTCAGCGACAGGCTGCTGCACCCCCGCTGTCTGACGGAGAGATACCGCAGGTCCTTCCTTCCTGCAGCAGTCAGACTATACAACCAGCACAGCCCCTAGTAGACCCCCCCCCCCCCCCCCCCCACACACACACACAACAACACAGACTATAGGCATAGACATAGGCATAGACACCCCTTGCTGTTAAATACTGTTAAATACCAACCAACTATGTGCAATATGTGCAATATATATATAGGCTATGCTGTTAATAACTGTGCAATATATACCTGGCTGCTAAATCCTAAGAACTGTTACAGGATGTGTATTTTGTAAATTGTGTAACTTTTTATTTTTATTATATTTGTTATTATATCATAACTACTTTTTTTTACTTTAATACTTTTCAATGCAGGTAACATATGTAACATATGTAACATTAAGCTGTCTGTGGCTCTTTTTCTGCTGTAACAACGTACATTTCCCCTCTGTGGGACTAATAAAGGTATTCTGATTCTGATTCTGACAAAACTAAAATATTGTTTTAATTATAAAACTGGCCATCATTTATATATAGTGTTCTTATAAATGCTGAGATCACTTACCCGTGAGCCCAGCGAGTATCAGGTGAGCAACATACAGAAAAGTCATGTCTGCTTCAATGCGGTGAGAGATTGAGCACTTTCAATATTAGAGTAGGTAACTCTAACACTGTCACTTCCTTATTTTCAACAGGGTTGTTTTGGTCCTGCTTTAAATCTACCGGTCATACTTTTTATGGCTTTTAAACAATGTATTGTTTGTTTTGCGAGAATATATTCAGCACTGTTTAGAAGTAGTTTTAACAACATGTAATTTGCATACCTTGCCAAACATTAGTTAAACATTCATCAAGATCTATCACTGTCCTGTTAAACTTATATTTGACAAGTTAAATATGATGCTGAAAAACGACTTAACATGAAGTAGGCCTACATGTAGACTTATGTTTACTATTATTTCTTTTTAAATAAACATTTGGTAATAACTTGTTCGTAATGTTGAGTTAGCGACCACATTTTAGAATACTTTTTATTAGAGCCCTAATATACCTCTACATTATTATTGGAATGTAACTAAGTAAATGTACTGACTTTTTATTCACTAAACTTATTTGACAACATTAGGAACCAGTTTATTTTTGATTGTTCATATTATTAGTAAACATTACATCAACATTACATTATGATGTACGATTATGGATGGAGATATCTGGCAGTATAAAGTTATACATAGAATGCATCAATAATTAAAAACCATTGATACAATTTATGTTATTCCAAAAACAACCACTTTAGATAATGAGTACTTTTAGATTTGGTACTTAAGTATTTTGTGATGCTAATACTTTTGTACTTTTACCTAAGCAACATTTGAATGCAGGACTTTAACTTGTAACAGAGTATTCCTACTCTGCGGTATTATTACTTTTACTCTTAAATCTGAGTACTTATTCCACCACTGTATATATGCAGTAGCCTATATGTCTTATACTCAAATCTTCAGCATGTTGAACAATTCAAAGCTTGACAAACCATCGAAGGTACCTTAAGTAGCCAGCTTTGATTGGACGAATGCTGTACGAGGGAGGGGTTAAGCAAATTACTACATTTTGAGTAAAATAAAGCATAAACTGTGTAAAAAAAAGTATTTTTGAGGCATTTAAGCCAAACGTTAACATTACATTTTCACATGACACATATTTACTGAGAAATTTTGGTCGTTTCTACTGTAAAATAACAGGTAAAGCCCGAGGCCGATGTTGTTTTAGTCGACTTTTGATGACGTTATTATGAGTCTTCGCATTACCGCGCGCAAATACAAAGCGACACATGAACATTGGCCGGTTTAATTTAAGTAAACCGATGAGCCCGTGAATTAAGTGATGGAGTACGGAAAGGAGCGCGTGGTGGCGTTAGTAGACATGGACTGTTTTTACGTGCAGGTGGAACAGAGGCTGAATCCAGCTCTGAAGAACACTTCCTGTGTTGTGGCCCAGTACAAGACATGGAAAGGAGGAGGGTGAGTTTCTGACACAGACATTGTTTTGATGATCCATGGAACTGAAACAGAAGCGATCAGACTGTCTCTCAAAGCAGGACTGTTGTGCATCTGATGTTTCAAAATCAGAAAGTGGTGAACAAATACTCTTGTTATGATCATAGCCACTCCAAAGCACCCTGCCTGTGTTGAAAGGTATGGCTGTAGGAGCATACATAATACAGTAAAAAAAATACTTGCAGCTGCAGAACAAGATAAATGACAGGACAAGGAATAACTCATAACTAGGCTTAGGTCATTCTTTAACATATAAGTATCCTTGATATTGCATCAGGCTGTCCACTGACATATGACTAATGACTGACTCCTTCCTAATCATTGCTGTGACTGCATGAGAATGTGTCTGTTGCATGGACCATTTAAATGACTCTCTGTGTCTCATCCGCCTTCTTCTCCCACAGATATCTTGGAATTACTGAAAAATGAGTGCTCATGGTTTGTAAACATGCTGTTGTCAACTAATTACTATCCTCTGTTAGTATCATAGCTGTAAGCTACGAGGCCAGGGCCCAAGGTGTCACCAAGAACATGTGGGTGGACGATGCAAAGATACTGAGTCCAGATCTGCAGGTGGCTCGAGTGCGTGAGTCTCATGGCAAGGCTGACCTGACACCGTAAGTTCACCTATTCACATTTCCTGGGATTCTACCTTAAAACTGTTAAATAATTGATATGATGAATACTAACCGTTAATAACTTTACTTGTGTGACCAGTTGTAATTTAAATCATCTACTACTCACCCCTGTGTAGTTACAGGGAGGCGAGTGTGCAGGTGATTGAGGTGATGTCTCGCTTCGCTGTGATCGAAAGAGCCAGCATTGATGAGGCCTACATGGATCTGACGGATGTGGTCCAGCAGCGGCTGAAAAACATGACCAACAAACAAGTTGAGCCTGACCAACTGAGGGCAACCTACATCCAGGGATACCCACAAAGTGTACCTGAACATGAAGAATCTGCAGAGGACACTGCCTTGGATAAAGGTAGACTATAACCAAACTTTGACTTATCAGTTACATAACTTTTAACTGCATTGAAAAGTGACATCAAACAAATCCTCACAAAACTATGGTAGAATCTAACCCCTTAACAGAGTCATGTTTGTCCCCAGAGGAGCAGAGGTCCAGGGGTCTGCAGCAGTGGCTGGCGTCCTTACCTGTCCCTCTATCAGGGCAACACATCCCTGCAGACCTGCAGCTCACTGTTGGGGCGATCATTGTCGAGGAAGTGAGGGCAGCCATAGAGAAAGACACAGGTTTCCGCTGTTCAGCAGGGATATCCCATAATAAGGTAGGGAAACCCAGGGTAAGAGGCCAGAAATGACTTCAGGTCAAAAGCATGAAACAATGACTTGCTGAAAAAAAGCCTTACTTAGCTTTTGCCCTTATTATATCAGACCATCAATAAAATGTCTGTGTTACCCCTCATGTTATGTTATTCTATAAATATAATGCTGGTGTGATCATTTTAAGGGCAGTCAAATGTCTTTGCTATGGTTATTGTTAAGCACCTACTTCTTTCAGGTATTGTCCAAACTGGCTTGTGGTCTGAACAAACCCAACCGACAAACGGTTCTGCCTTTGGACTCTGTGACAGAGCTTTTCAACTCTCTACCCATCGGCAAGATGTGAGTTCAAAGTACTACTCCTTCAAAAGAATACTCATTGACAATTTCCCTCGTATTTCAAAAGTAACAAGTTTAAAAACAAAAACACCCACCGTTCTTTTGTATCGTCTATTTCACATGTGTGCAGCCGTAACCTGGGGGGTAAGCTGGGTGCATCCATTTCAGAAACTCTGGGGATAAAGAACATGGGAGAGTTGACCCGCTTCTCTCAGGCTCAACTGGGGCAGCACTTTGGAGAAAAGACAGGGTAAGAGGCCAGAAATGACTTCAGGTCAAAAGTGTTTAACAATGACTGGCTAAAAAAAAACCTTACTTAGTCTTTGCTGTTATTATATATCAGACAATCAACATTTTTTGTGTAATAGACATTTTGATTTACAAAGTCAAAACATGGGCTTCTGAAAACATATTTTTACTATATATTTTTGTTCAATTTTTTGCTATACCTGTCACTGTTCACTGCATGCATGATGCCCATTGCACAATGCCTATAGATAAGAAACTGGTACTGGGAAAATATTTCCTTACAGTGACAAATGTTTGCATTTAATCTATGCACATTTACGATTGAACCTCTGCTTTGCAGCCATTGGCTCTTTGACATGTGTCGGGGGATTGAGTTTGAAGCAGTGAAACCCAGACATCTTCCTATGTCTATTGGTTGCAGTAAAAACTTCCAGGGGAAGTCATCGCTGGCTACAAAAGAGCAGGTACAGACCAACATTGTTTCCTTTTTGTTAATACAGGAAGTAAATGCAAATGAAGTATTACTCAATTTGTCTTTATTTCAGTTGCATATTGACTGGAAGTGGTGAAACTTGTGTAGACCCATCTGATGATGACAAGACATGTTCATGTTTAAAAAAAAATGCTATCATTTCATTTCCATTTATAATTCAAACCTCTGCTAATTGTTTTAATTGTAATTATTCATAACGTCCGTGTAGGTACAGTATTGGCTTCATCAGCTGGCCCTTGAGCTGGAGGAAAGGCTTACCAAGGACAGAGAAGTGGTGAGCTATTTGTGGTTGTGAAATGTTTTGCTTTCCCATTTTACAGCAGCACTACCTGTTTTCTAATCTGAGATTTCCCCTGAATATTGCATGCAGTAAATATAACGGTTTAACATCAGTTCCTGTCATTTCTCACCATCTTACAGAATGGTCGGGTCGCCAAACTATTGACGGTTGGTGTACGCCAGCTCGGGGAAAAGAGGGCAAGCAGTTTCTCTCGCTGCTGTGCTTTAGTGCGCTACGAAGCGACCAAAATATCTGGTGACAGCTTAGCCATTATCAAGAGTCTGAACACAGCTGGAAACCACCAGGCAGCATGGTAATTAAATATATTAATAACACTGTCAAACAATTGAAGTCATTGTTTGAAGGAATGCTGTGTGACTTATTCTCCTCTCCCTTGCATCATGTCCCCAGGACTCCACCCCTCACCCTGCTACACATCTCAGCTAGCAAATTTAGCGACGCTCCATCGGCAGGGGGCATTGCAGGCTTTCTTTCCACTGATGTGTCTTCAAGCCAGAGTCTTTTCCCCACCTCTCAGCTCTCAACCCAGACACCCTCTGAACTGAAAACTGACTCCTCAGACAAACAATCCTCCACCATCCATTCCCTTTTCAAAAAGGCAGCTGAGAAACAAAGACTGAAAGTTTCAAAAGATGAAGCCGAGGAGGTCGAGGATAAAGACTCCACAGGGATTCTCCCATCTTCCTCCTCTAACAAAACTGCTGATAGTCAGTTGGCTGATACCAATTGTCCTGTTCCCTCTGTGGTTTCTCACCCTAAAAATGATTCAGCCAGCTCCAATTCTGGAATTTCCTCTTTCTTCCACAAGAAGAGACTTGAAAGGGACTCAGCCTTAACTTTTAACACGCCTGAAACAGGACACAAGCCTGGACCTGACAATACAAATGCCTCAGAAGACACTGTTGTTGCTGTGTCAGACCTTGAGGCAAAACATAGCTCCTCTCAGCAGTCACCATGTGAAGAGTTACGGGATGAAACAGACTTTGAACCAGAAGCTAACCCTCCTCCTTTCAGCGTGGCAAAAGAGGACTTGATGAACTGTGATCGCTGTGGCCAGGAAGTGTCCGTCTGGGAAATGCCTGAACACAACGACTATCACTTCGCCCTGGACCTCCAGAAGTCCCTCTCTTCATCAGCACCCAGCTCTTCCTCCACTGTCTCCCCTTCCTCCAATGCCTCCTTGACTCCTCACAGAGCCCAGTCCACACGTGGCAAGACAAAAACCAGAGGCCTGTCGGGACCACAACCCAAAAGGCATCGCTCTCAAGGTGGAAGTGCGGGCACTCTGGATTCTTTTTTCAAGAAGACCTAAGGATGTGATGTCGAGCAGCATTTTTTTTTTAAGTAAATAAAAACACAAACTTAAATGTACAAAGAAAGTCCAAAGAACTGAATGCCATTTTGTAAAAGGATACAGTACCTGTTTAAAGATGTGCCTTATATTGTAGAGAGTATAAATGAGAATAAGTGTTTACTTGTGCACTTTGTGTCACATGTGCTTTTTTATTCTAAATAAAGAAAGGCAATACTTTTTTTAAACATGCTTATTAAAGTTTTCTTTTTTAAATGCTGTAGTTGTACACCTTGTGTTGTAGTATTCTGGTGTGCCAGCAGAGGCCACTAATCAGTTGTATATAGAGCAGGAATCCTCAAAAGACATCAATACTGAGTTTTCTTGTGAGCTCAAGGATACAGGAAATGTTTGTTTGAATTACACGATTGCCAGTAGCATGGGTCCAATTGCACCATTATGATCTGTCATCCTGTTTTGTTTACACTTTCCTCCCATGAGGAACCCTGTTCAGGGCGTTAAAAGACAGCTGAATGAGGAATTGACTCTTGCGTTGTCTTGCATCAGCTGACGCATTAGCAGTGCCTGTTAAATGGAATAACCTTTCAAACTCAGTTTTATGTAGTGAGTCATGACTTTGTCACAGGCCAGTAGATGAAATGCTGGGTGTATGATGACACGGTTGAAAACACTGAGCAATTTAGTTGTGTACTAAAAACATAACAAAGGTAAAAGCACCTGGTATAGACAATACAACTTTTATTCATGTACATCATGAACACAAACTGGATCTGTACATAAATATTGCATTTCACCCAAATAATGATCAAAATGTACACTTTATTTCGATTTAAGGGAGGGCTCTAAAACTAGTTTCAGAAAAGTGAAGATGTGTTTGGAAGGCTGTGAAAACAGTGAAAAACGTGATTGAATATATATTGTAAAATCTGGAACTACTAGAAATCTATAAAATACTCAAGTTGCATATAAACAAACTAACACCTGATACCCTTTATAAAGGCTATACATATAATTTGTCTGAGTGCACACAAATTAAGCATAACAATAAAGTGTGTGCAATTAAACAGGGCACACATTTCGCCTCTATCATGGCTGTCAATGGGACAGCAGGTTATGCTACAGTCGAAACAACATGCTATAATAAGACATAAGGCCAACAGCAGCCTCGAACAAAGGGTAGCAACTAACATTCATCTTCAAAGTCTTCTTCTACACATCAAAAGCTGTTTTGAGGAATCTAGCACCAACTTAAGATTGTTTTACTAAGTTGTAAAACTTTGGGGTGTAATGGCAGACTACTCAAAGAGTAGTTCCATTAGGCACTGTGTAACATCCCAAAGTGAGTGACATCAGTAACTGAAGTGAAGAGACAACGTCAAGTACCTTTAAATGCTTTAAAACAAAGCTACATCAGTAGGCAGCTTTACATAATATAAAATCCATAACCAAACATCTCTTTGGAAAAAAACACCCTTTCATTTATCTTCCTTCTCACCAAGCCAGCAACAGAAAGCTCCTCGGAGTCGTTCTGTGAGTGGAATGCTGTCTTATACCTTATCTAAACTGACCTGAGTAACTAAAGCACTTAAAGACAGGCAGCAAGAGACTGTCCCACTGCACTATCGTGAGGTGAGGCATAATCCGTGATAGAAAAAATACATAACTATCTGAACATATGTGACATAACAAACCACTTGCAAAGTGAGTGCCAATGTGAATTATCTTGGCAGGCTGACACAAAATCAGTCAGGTTCTTACTCCGCATACCTCAAATGCAGCCCTTTACCTACATGAAGTTTCCTTTAGTCAGCACTAGTAAAGCTTGTAGCAAGATGGTTTAGCTTATATAAAAGTGACCAGCTGTGTCTGAGAAAGTATCTCTTTTATCTACTATTATCCCACATAAATAAGCAGAGGTAAGAACATCTTTATCAGTCAGGCACTATGTGGGGTGATGAAACAGGTAACACATTAATGCGCATCTCATACTTGCAACTGTTTGTAAACAATTATCTGCCAAAGGTATATCGAAACTGGCATTTATGTTTCAGTGCGAGTTTGTGAGGATCTTTTTAAAAGCACGTGTTCGGAGTGCATTAAGGTGTAAACTGTGTAAACAGCACTTCAACGCTGTGTGAAAGCACATTCCTAGCTGCCACTAGCAACTATGTGTTCTTTACACTCAACATCATGTTGGTTGATGGATGGTGGACGTGTCCTTCACAATGTGACAGAGGTGGCTGAGGGGTTTCCTCTTATCAGTGCCAAGAAAAACAAAGATAAGCTGTTGTTAAAAAAAAAAGGCTGAAGGAGACAAATGAGGCGGTGGATAACAACAAGGCTTTGGAAAAGGGGGATAAAACAGTGATCTCCTGAGACAGTAATGAATGTGCAGAGAACAGGACAGAGTGGCCTTTGGAGAAAGCAGGAAGTCGTTTATAAAGCACCTTGTCTTTGGGTGGGACGGTGTTTTCTGTTGTTTTCTCGGAGTAACTTTAAGCCGCATCGTCCTCGCTCTGGGACGGCCGGTACTGGGCGATGGGCTGCAGCTTGGTGACGTGGCCAATTCCTTTGGTCACACCCTCTCTGAAGAGCAGCTTAGCTCCCACCTTCAGGTATTCTGGGTGCTTGAGGAACTTGAAGACGACAACCGCTTTTTCCCCTGTCCTCAGCTCCTCCTGTGGTAAAGCAATTAGAAAAGGAAGAAGAAGAAGAAGAAAAACAGCATTAAGAAACAGAATTGTCTTGACTTAATCTGCAAGCAACATTTTGAAGAGGAGGACATCTTTCAGACTCCAACAGTTGTAACTCCGAGGATGATCTAACCTTGCCGCACACAGCTTCCACAGTTGCGGTCTGTCTCACATTGCCGATGTGCACAGTAACCTGGAAGCCCTTGTGGAAGGTCTTGGCATGGAAGAGCAGCACAATCTCAGCCTCAAACATCCAGCAGATGGTAGGATCCATCTCCGGACTCACCATCACCATGCCCTGGAAGTAGAAAACACATGATCGTACACACAGATTACAATTCAGGTCTTACGTGATGAAAATATTAATTATAAATACAGTGATAAAGCACCAAATCAGATATTGTCAGTTCAAGTCCACAAACGGACCAAGTTTTAGAAAGTGGACCATTACTTTAAGAGGTGCCAGTTCTAACTCCTCTGCACTGCGGGGGTTCCCTTCAGCAAGGCACCCACACTGATCTCCTAGGAATGCTTTAATGCATGGTTTAAAGTCCACTGTGTATGCAGGGCTTGTACATGTGTGAAACCTAAAAGTTGATTCAATTTAAACCCTCCATTTACATGTTTTCTCTCTAAATATTAAGAAAGGCAAACAGTATAGAGAGAAAGAAAGAGTTAGAAGTCTGACCTTGCGTAGTAGTGAGCGTTCGAAGTTGCCCAGGGCGAGTGTGGCCGCCTGGCCGGCCCTGAGGACCCGGCACGCTGAGCGGTTTCTTTGGATGCTCTCGATGGTTAACTTGTGGAACTGGCCTAAGTCTGTGGGCCCTACCACAAGATCATCTCCCTCACGGCAAATACCACTGCACATTCAGAGAAAGTTTCAGTTGGTCAGAGAAAAAGTCCATAATAAACAGAAAACAGTAGTGTACAGATGAAAATAAGGTTAGCATTTCCACACACTGACCTGGACAGAGTTCCTCCCACCACAGTCCCCACCTCTGGCACTGTGTAGATCTCATCCACCTGTAATAATGCGCACTGGTGTCAGTCAAAAACATGTGTATTTACACTGCGTCTGCAAGAGTGTCTATGGGCCAGCTGATCACTTCCATGCATTATTAAACTCCATCACGGTCATACCTGAAACTCAGTTAGCTGTTGCATAAGCTCCTCCTGCTCCTTGCTGTTGCTGAGAGGAGGGATGATGTTTAGAAAGACCTTGATCAAGTCTAGACTCTCTCCAGTCACAGAGGACAGGGTGAAGATGGGTGTGATGCTGCCAGAGAGTAAAAGCAAGTGATCAGAACACATACTTTGATTTCAAGTGGGTAGGACGAGTAAAGCCGCTGCGTAATAACCGATAAATAACAACAAGTTTTCCTTTCTTTTGAGTGTTAAAGTATTAGTATTGTGTGAAAACATTCATAATTAATGAATAATCAATTTACAAAACAGATGATGTACAACCTGAGATATCTCGCTGATCTCTCGCCTACAACTAAAAATAGACGGCCTATGTTTACCAACCTTGATCTAGAGATAATAAGCAGATTTCTTTGTTTCCCCTTCCACTATCAAGCAATCGATTGGTTAGAAAATAGATATAATTTCAGTTGACAAAAGATATTCTTTGGTTGACTACAGCCCAGTTTTTACATTATACTTTTATACGAGTGTTAAATTATACAGTGGGCACACACAAAACAAACAGTTAATTGACACACTCAGTTATGTTTATCTTATTTTTCCATACTTGGGTGATTGTGCGAACTGCTGTGCTGCTGTGACGGCATCGTCCGTGCTGCTCACAACCATGGGCACCTTGTTACAGCCCGGCTGCTTCAGGACACGCTCCAACTGCCGCACAGTGCGCTCCACTGTGGCCCGCATACAGAGGTCCACTTTACTGATGACGATGAAGATGGGCACCTTCAGGGCCATGGCAATCCCAAGATGCTCCCGTGTTGTACCAGCTGGAAAAGAGAAAGGAGAGGAAGAAGGGATTTCGTTAGGTGTAGGGCTTCTTAAATGTGTCAGTTAGGTGCACCACTTCACATATTTAAGCTTGGTTTTACAAGTGCACAAATGCAATATTGATTTATATTGTGCATGATGTTCATATACAGATGAATTTGCAATTAATGGACATGAATGGATTGAGTGTCTTTAGCAAACATCCCAATGGACACAGGGACATCCACATCCTTGAGGGACAGGACTGTTAACACTGCTGATCTTCTGTCTCTTACTGTGAGTCAGAGGGTCAAAATAGCATGTACACAAATGATAAGAACAGATATAATGTACCATGACGTATGATTGTAGCCATCAAAAGGTAGGATATCAATACAGGAATATTTAACACTTTATATTAATTATGTAATTAATGCTTTCTGTTTTAAACACAGACTTCTCACAGGGGAAGCAGTGTCCTGGAGGCATGGGTCCTGTTCGTTTGTAAATTACGACGTGTGAGAGAAGGTGATATTGGTACAGTGTGTATGTTTATGGAGATTATGTATCAGTTCAGATATAGCACTCAAGGCAACCTACATCCCAAAAGAGTTCAAGGGGACTGACCCATACAGGTTGACAGAGACTTAAATACCGTCTTCTCCTCATCAGCTGAGCAGCGGGTTGTTTTGCTGGGTGTGTTATTTTCAGTGCGTCCAAAGTCAAGGTGCATAGGAAAATATCCTCACCCTTCGTGTAGGTGTAAAGATATTTGGCTCGTCACAGATATAACCTAAGACAAGCCCTATGCATTACACATATTCATTTCCCTGTTTTATAATTCAAGCTGTTGCTCTAGGGTTGCAGACACTGTGTTCCCTTTCCGTCTGTTACGTAGCTAAGGAAGTCCTCGTTCTTAACCCCATTTCCCCTCACCCTAAAAGACACCCACACAAACACAGCACACTCTACAAGTTATCCAGCTACTACTACAGGTTTGTCTGAGAAACATGTGTTGTCTCCAAGGCTTATGTTTCATCTACAATTTTCTTTACCTCTTTCAAAAAGAAGCAAAACAGAAGTATGGGTTCCTCATCACCTCGTGGTATTTAAGGCTTTTGCTTACAAAGCACAGGGAGTCTTTACAAGAGGTCACACGTTGTTAACATGGTGTTCTTATCTGGGCACACATGCTGTGGATTCCAAAGCGCCCAACCCCTCCCCCCCCCCCCCTGAAAGAGATCATGCACAGCCATTAGAGCATGTATTACGTCAGGATGGCCGAGCGGTCTAAGGCGCTGCGTTCAGGTCGCAGTCTCCTCTGGAGGCGTGGGTTCGAATCCCACTTCTGACAAGATTTTGTTTTGCAAAATGTACAAAACCCAATCAATTTGTATAATAGTATTAAAGCAATAACATAAATAAAAACAGTAAACAAGCAACTTGTCTTTTACAAGCAAAGCAAGAGCAGCATAGCCTGTCCAACCGGTTTTAACTGCTCAGGTTTCAAAAGTCCTTTCTGGACCTTAGTGGTAATTACTTCCTGCACTCAGTCTCAGCTGCTGTTATCATAAAAGGTCTGGGTTGTTGAAAGCATGTGATGCATACAGAATTCAAATAATCAGAATACGTTTTGCAAATGTTAGGTCAACGTGACAATAAATACCCACTAAAGACAGCGCAGCGCAAAGTTCATCCGATTAATTTTCTATGGGACAAGAAGATTTTCAGCTTCATGCAAGGAGGGAGATACACAGAGTGACTTCCAGCAGGTCAGAGGACTCTAACATCAATGGATGGTATTTGAGTAGTGGCAGGCAGGGACAGCAGGGTAAAGTGGCTGTGGAGGAACGGTGGTCAGTTACATAAGATCAGATATCACATGCAAAGTCACAGCTGGCCAAGTCTGCTAAAAGTGTACACAAACATAAGCTCTCCGTCAGACTCACCCTGCAAGTGTTTATTACCTGCCTCTCTCCCTGTGACAGATGTACTTTCAACTTGTCTTTTTTAAATAGTAAAGTCACTAGATTAAGGGCACAAATAAAGACACCACAACACTTTTATTTCAACAAACAATAATTAAACTTAAATGAACCAATGAATGCTCACCAATGCCGGTATTTGCGCTGACGACCAGCATAGCGAAATCAGGACAGTAGCTGGTGAGGCCAAAGATGGTGGTCTTCAGGTATTTATGGTGACCCGCCAGATCTATGAATGTGATCATTTTAGAGGCACTCTCACAAATCTCCTCTGCTGTCCGAGACTCGCTGTAATTCACAACCTGGGAAAAGAAGCCAATATGTATTGAGTGTCATGATCTAAACTACAAACCATATTCCTCAGTTATTCATTAGAAATATAGCTCAGACTTTATTAGTCACTCACATTACATGAAGAAGCATTAACAATACATTGCATTCATAATAATGTATTTATTTTGTAAGCGCTTTTACAGGTGCTCAAAGTCGCTTTACAGAGGTAGTAAAAAAAGGACAACAAATAGATATAGTAAAAGTCACATTCAAATCGAGCAATAAAACAACAATCATACATTAAAAGCTAGTTTGACGAGGTGAGTTTTTGAGGTGAGGTCCGTGTCAGGATCAGTCAATTAAACTTTCTTTCCTCTTTATATCACTATTTAGAAAACCATATCAACTTGTCTGAACTACTTGAGTATCTTGATAATGAAACCCTGTGATAACCACAATGTTGTGTTTTTAACTTGTGTTGCTATTTATAAAACAAATATGAAATAGGATATTACTAGAAAACACATTATTTATTTTCTGCCATTTGATCTTTTCTCACCTCCCCTTTGCTATTGAAGCCAAGGATCTCAAAGCTGATGCTGGAAGTGCGTCCAGTCTGGATCTCATGTAGATGTCTGAAGAGGTTTAGCCTCGCTCTTCCCCGTCCATTGTCCAGCTCTCCCTGTGTCAGGACACCTAACAGAGTGGACTTTCCCGAGTCCACATTACCTATAACAGCTACTCGCAAGTCCAAGAACTGCAGGAGAAACACAAAGAACGAGCAGGGTTAACATTTGAATTATGAACAAATCAACAACATCTCTTCATTCACAGTGGCCCCAACTTACCTGCTGGTCATCTGGCACCTTGCGGATGAGAACTTCAGCAATTTTACGAGGCACATCCGAGTCAAAGTCCACCTCTCTTTCTCTGAGAACAGTGATGTCGGCTCCAACCCTGTTAGAAATCAAAACACAAATACATAATTTAAGTTAGGGGTTTCAAGTGTGTAATTACAAGTAACCAGGTGTTGCTTATAGTATGCATTCATATTGGCAAATTGGACAATTGCTTTGTTGTTATTAGCAGATTTGTATTAACAGTATGTTTGGATAGGCTTGTGACTTGACACCAAACAGTTACAATACACTTAGCTTCCAATAAAATGTGAATTTGGAAACTTGACTTACTTCTCTGCCAGCTCATGGAGCGTATTTAGTGATGTTCTCAAATCTTCCTCTGATAGTCCCGCCAAAATGCCGTTATCCTCAACACCTATTTGATAGACAGCTTCGCCTCGACCTTCCTGCAGTCGCCATTTCATCTGCGTAGCCAGGTGCTCGAAGCGGTATTGTGTGGGGTTTATTAGCTTGAGCTAGAAAAAGGAAAGACAATTGAAATTTCTGCTGAACTTAAACCTGGATGATAGAGATTAAAATGGGTCTCGTCCGTGGTTTAATACTTGTAGTGCAAATAACTAGCATTACAAACAGTTACCGTAGGGTTGGGGCTATACAAACATCGTATATACAATATTGCATGTTGATCTAGCAGGATATGCAGCAGTGCAGATGCAATACATGCTCTAGTTTATCCACTGTGGTGTTCAGTTTTCATGGTATATAATGCAAGAATGCACTTATTCTGACATATTTTACTATGAATAAAACCATCATATATTTTAGAACACAGTACAATCTTGAATGACACATAATTTGCTTACCTTGTACTCTATATTTCCCTCTTCAGCCTGATAGACAAGGAGAGACAAACAGAGACAGAACAGGAACAAAAGCTGTCAGACTGTAGCGAAGTGAGACAACAGGCTATTGATTTGTTAAAAGACACAAAGAAAACCAATCTGACTGAATGAGGGGACATTCTGTGAATAGGTTGTCACAGAGAACTATACAACTAGCTAGCCTTAATACATACATTCTTAATGTGTAATTAGACAAAGCACACGCATATCTAAATGTTAGCTAGTATCTCAAATGTATACTAAAAAGTGTGTTCACTGCAGAACAATGGAGCTGGTAACAAAGGTGAGAGAACCAATGAGGCCATGGGGTATGTTGAGACATGTCCCATAACACATAAAGATATGAGCATAGAGCTGGCAAAATGCTGCTTATTGCTTACATTTAGGGAAAAGATGCCCAAGATAGTCTTTATGATATATTATATAAAAAGTTATTTATAAAGTGCTTTTATTTTGCTTTAGGTTAAATTAGTTTGGCTTTGAGGTCAACACTTTTTCAACATTCTTTTGTCATGTTATTGAGGGATTCAATGTCAAGTATGTAATTGTAGGTATTACTCGTTGTAAACAAGTAATCAGTGTGTAGTAACACAGTACTGAGTAAATGCCAGGGACAAATAGTAAGATTCGCTAGCTTTGACCCGACAGAATACACACCGCCCCCCATAACATATTTACAAACACAGCTGTTAGCTAGCTAGCAAAATACTAGTCTTCAAGCTGCTATTAATGAACACAGTGGTCTTTTTACTGTAGAACTACTGGGAATGTGTGTAATGTAACGAGCATTGTTACATTACATTGCTAATGTAAGCAGAAGGTATGCATCTAATTCATTTTCAATTTCATTTTATAGTTACCGACGAGCTACGTGTCACTGCCTGTTATGTCCAACACAATTCAAGGAAGCATATCTGACCCCGGAGACAGGGAATGTATTATAATTTGGAATTAGGTTTAACATGCACACAATGACGTTCAAAATTACAATACTTTGCTTCGTAATAGCTTTAGCTAGCGGTGAAGCTAGTTGTGGGCTTAATTGCAGGCTTACCTCCGGAGGTAGATATGGTGGGTTATTGCTTGGTTTGAAGTTGCGAGCGAATCGCGATTTGGACTTCTTGTGCATCTTTACACATGATTTTTTTAGGGCTACCCCATAGCTGTTTCCCGGCAAAACATTGGACGCAACATCTTGAGATCCAGAGTCATTTCCTGAACCAAACAACTCCGATACCCGCGCATCCATCAGCTTATTTTGGGGACTTGTAAGCTTACCACTACCTAGTTTGAAATGCTGCTATATCATTAAAATAAACCTCAGCCCAGGCTTGCAGGTGATGGTTTTTGAGACGAGTTCTTCTGCTAGTGGTAGCTTACAACCCCCAAAATAAAAACAAAGGACCGACCGCCCGCAAACTCTTCAAACCGAACAATAACAGCCCCGTCCGACACCGTCGCTTTGAGTTTCCAGCCTGCTTACGTCATAGCTCTAAATGTCAATGGGGTGTGCTTGATTTTACAACTTAGCAGTGCGAATGGGCGGTTGAAATCGTTTTCCTACTTCCAAAAGCATGTAGGTTTAAACCCCGCCAGCCTGGCTACGCAGGTTCTCACAGCGGTCAACCACATATGAACTCAGTTTTACACAGGTTTGCATCAGACGATTCCAAAAAATGACACAAGATCAACAAATATGTCATCAACTTAGTAATATACCAATATTTTACCCATAGGTTACATTTTGAGGCTTTGCTTATTCAGTCGTAGTACATATTTGTACTCCACTACTTCCCATCTATGCATATTCATAACATTGTGGAAATACAATATTCACATATTCTAATAACACAGAAAAGGTCAGATAATAAAAACGAAGTGGTTTTTTAGTTTTTTCCATAAAGGGTATGTTTCATTAACTCACTCAAAAATACTTGTTAATCAGTGTGACGTAGATGACATTAATTTACTTTCTGTTTCATAATACAGTAAATACACCCAGACTGAAGGCCTATACCCAACCCAACATTTAGTTTGGCTTATCCATTAATGTTGTGCATACTAACAAGTATCATCTTGCCTATCCAACAGCACTACAACAGAGATTTCAGTAGAAGGAACAGGAAGGCTTCATATTTTCTTGAAAGTGAATGGATGTAAAAACAATATCACATACGTTATTAAACTACTTATCAAAAAATATTGCATAAACCGTTTTACATTTTCCCAGAGTCATACATTAATAACACTTTAAGACAGACCTTTGTATTTCGAAGTTATGTCAACAGAATGCTTAGGCTATCTTTACTTAATTGTTTAGTGTCTATGAGATAAAATAACATATCAAGTAAGCATCCAGGATTTGAGCAAAACAAGAAATAATCTTGAGGTGGCGCCTTTTTCCAAGCTTTGTCTGAGGGGAGTCCCACAGTCTGAGACTTTGATGAATCCCACAGTATTGCAACGATAACACTGGTTTCGCTAGACTGTTATTGTTGTACCTGCATGGCTAAAAGAAACATATAAACACATTATTGAGTGGTTATATTTTGTTGTCCATAGAGGACAAGAGCACCATCATGTGTTGGGTGGAGTATATAACCCCTATATTTCTCAAAACTCCATGGACATCTGACGCCTCTTGAGTGGACAGAAAGGGTTGCAATAACAAATATTAGTACATTAGACAAGGTTCAGAATGATTATAGGCCATCATTTTTGACACCCTTTGGAAGTGGGTCTAACTCCATAAGTTGGTATAACAATTTTCTGAATGTGTGGACCTTTTGAAATGTAACTTAGACTAGGTTTGGTTGAATTTATTTAACTCATTTGTTTCGGAAAACAACTGGTCTAGATTTTGAATTGAACAAGTTGCTGCCAGAAAGTTTACATTACATTACAACATACAGTTGTTAAAATTACAGATAATTAGTTGTGAATTTCCCAACATTATCACATCCTGTGTAGAGTGATTTCTTAAGTTTATTTGTTCTTTGGCATTTTTACAATTTTGTTTTAACTGTATATTTGAACCAGAAAGATACACAGGCTTTTAGAATAAAATCACCATTGCTGAATGTTAGTTTGAGTAACTCAGTTCTACATTGTCTAAACTAATTTAAGATTAGTTGCACTTCAACTCAAGCTGATCTTTAGATTTTTCCTCCAGTAATGTAAAATCCCTTATAAGTTATTATATTGTTAAAATACTTATTTCAACACATGGACTTTTGCACAAAGCTCAAGACAAACACTTCATCTAAACTCGGCCTGCGCTTGTTCCTTCAAAGAGACTTAAGATCTGAGAAAAGTCAGCCAACTCCCCTGTGGGAAATGAATACTTTCACAGTGGGGCATTTCTGAAATCCAACGCTGATTGGTCAGCCAGCCTCTGTGTCAGGGCTCGGCCCATTCAGTCCTCACTGAGAAAACTGTTATGGGAAGGTTTTCAGCCTCCAGTTTCTTCAAACGTCCACATTCACACTCATACACAAACAACACTCTCTTGGTTCAGCTCTTTCTGTCAGCATGAGTTTTCCACTGGTGATTCTGCTCTGTGTGGGACTTCTGCAGCAGACTGCGAGGGCCGTCCATATGGATAAACTAGCAGACAACAAGATTTGTGGAGATGCAGAATGCTCATGTAAGTCAGAGCATTGAAGAGAAGCATGGAGCAGTGTATGTCCGCAAAACTGTAGTTAAAACCAGGTAATCAAATGCATGTTATTGATAAGTTGTTGTAAATGTGTATTTCCTCTTTTTCTGTGCTTTTTTAGATGTTGTATCCATGGCCACAGTCCTGGATGACTTCATAGCTCCTGACTGCAGATTCATCAACCTTAGGCTGGGTCAGAAGGTTTATGTGTATTCTAAACTCATACCAGAGGAGGGAGCCGGAGTCTTCTGGTCTGGAAGTGTATGTGCATTTGTGTTACTAAGTGCAGCTTACAATCAGTTATAAATGCAAGAGAGGACATGCAGCAGCTGTTACAAACAAATAGGATTGTTCTTGCTTTCCTTTTCGACAAGAGCAAAATGTCAAGAAAGACATTTGACATTTGGTCTTTGAAGCTAAATTTAACACACATCTTGAATACATTCAAATTAAGGCAGGAAGGTCAAACGCATTAAGCATATATAATGTGGTGCATTTGAATTTTTCAGAGAGAACATGTTATTTTTGCTGTCAGGTTTACAGTGAGCGCTACGTGGACCAGATGGGCATCGTTGGATACTTCCCTGCAACTATGGTGAACGAGACACAGAAGTTTATTGAAAACACCGTCAAGGTTGCCACAACTGTGCGTATATTTATCTCTTTTATAATAAACATCTCAGTCTAAAATATCTGTAATATCTCGGATGCATACTTTCTGTTTCTGGACTGATAGGTGGTTGTCAACATTAATCTTAAAATCTCTTTTTTTTTTCAGAACATGGACTTCTACTGTAATTAAGATTTGACAGACTGAAGCCGCTTTGTTCTGCTTTAAGTAGCTATCGCTTTTAACAAAAAGAAGAGAAGACAGTTCTTCACTCAAGCCAGTGTCAGACCATGTCCCATTACATCCTGTGGTGTTGTCTCCAGCTGGAACAGAAACTTTGACACTCCATAGCCCACAGCCTGACATTTATCTGTCCGTCTTGCTTTGTCTAAACAAGTCACTTTGCTCAATAAAACATTTTTTGCACTGTCAATCCAAAATGTTCATCATTTGAAATGACAATAATAAGCTTTCCAGATTGCTACTTTAATTTTTCAGAATGAGCAGTTGCAATTGTATTGTACATTTTTGCTGACACTACTGGTCTTTGTATTGCTGTGAAGACGTTCTCCTGTTATTATTCAATTACATTTGTAAGCCAGTGCAGAAGGTTTCTTAACACTGTTGTCACAAAACTACATGCAGGTTATGATTCCTTCTAAATAAGCAGGGAAAAGTCAGGTACTTGTGTTCTCTTTTTTAAATGAATAGTAATCTTTCAGAGAAATAATTGCACAATGGCATATCTAGTCATATATTTGTCATTGTACCTTTCATTGGCATGACCATTCCTTAAACATGCATAATAGTAAAATGAAAGCAATCTATAAACAAATGAATCATAAGGCTTTAGGTGTTTTTTTACACAGAAGTTGATTTAAATAATCTCATAACCAAAGAGATACAATGGTTTGTTATACAAAAAGATGACATAAGCAATCTATATAATAGAGTTTAAATTAACTTCATAAATAACAAAATCCTCATTACCTTGCAAGCTTTAAATATGATACAGAGGTTGATTATATTAGGTTGCATGACCATTTTTCACTCGTCAACACTTACATGCTATACGTCTATACTCGTTGGTTTGTTTACAACTATAGACAAATGTTGTCTCATAATGAATTCTGTTTGACCACACAGCACCAATAATTTAGCAGTTGTTTTTTGTTGAAAGATGCACATACAGTTTTGCTAAAAGCTCCGTTAGATGTCTCATGTTGCTTTAAAATACATCAAAGTCCCTCATGCCAGACAACCTTTACAGCTCACAAAGGCTGCAAACTGCGAGTAATGACTTTTTCATTGGGATGGTGTTACTTCAAGGTTCATTTATTTTCTATGGAGCGTTACATTACATTAGTTACGCAAGTGTTTTTACATTATTTTGTATGTACCATCCCTCTAAATCTTGTCTAAATATCTGTCTGCCTGTTTTGTCTGTCCCTCTCACACACACACAGCTTCCAGAGAACAATCACGATTAAAGATGGCCTGACATATTGTCACAGTTAAGTATATCTTAAAGAATGATTTTAATCTCCTTTTGATTGGTTTTGAATCAACAGTAACTCTTCTGCATTTGTCATAGCACCCACCCAGACACAGTAGTGAATGTAACATATCAATCTAGTAATCTACATTTACATCCGCGGATGATCAGATCCAAAGATGTTTCATTTTGATAAAGAAAGTCCCAGTGATTTCGTTTATATTCTTCAGAGCTGCCAGTTATTTTCTGCCTCGTGCATTGATTTATTAGGCCACGGGATACGGGTTGTTTTCATTATTTTATTTCTGTATGACCTGAGGCATTCTTAGAGAGGCAGGCTGACGAGTTTAGGAAATAGGTCTGTCACAAATTACGATCAATCCCCCGTCCCCTTTCTCAGCCCAGATCAATATGAACCTGTCTCCAATGTGGACATCTACTACAAAATGTCACTCAGTATAAACATACCTGATGCATGCCTGAGGGTCTCTTAGAGCAGAGAGAAGAGAGAAATAGTTTGTGAGGGATCTATGGAAGTAATGTCAGTTCATAAAAAACAACATTTCTGTTAATGTGAGATGATATTGGAAGGAAATTGGTGTCATTACACACTACGTACAGAGGAACTGAAACCTGAAGTCAATGGTTATCACAAACAATTGTCCAAATGCTCAGCATATGTTGCAGTTGCATTTGTCTGTATGTTGGCCTATATGGAAATATTAAAAAAACATGAATCACAGTAACTTACCCCAGTCAATCCTCCATCAGACAGCTGTAGTTTAAGGGGGTTACCATGGAGACAGGCAGGGATACCGTGACAGAAGAGATTGATGTGTGTGTGTGTGTGTGTGTGTGTGTGTGTGTGTGTGTGTGTGTGTGTGTGTGTGTGTGTGTGTGTGTGTGTGTGTGTGTGTGTTTCCTGTTTGTGAGCTTAAAGGAGCAGCTGCCAAACGCAGGCCACAGTAGATGTTTTTGTTTTTCCATCCGGTGTCGCACCCACACCTCTGTGCCCAGCAGCACAGCACCCTGTAAAGCTGAGAAATCAACAGCTTCAGGTCTAGTTAGCATCTGAGTGTGACATTTCAGAACAAGCCTTTTTTTGATCACATCCCAAAACCTCACGTCTGGCTTATCCGGCTGATTCTGGGAAACAAATATGCAGTCCATCAGTTTTTAAATCAGAAGAGTCATATTACTTTGTGATTCAAACAACTGTAGTGGATTCTTTTTTAAAGGATGAAGCAATTATGAAGAGGCAAGATGATAATAAAAACAGCAACAACTAATCTCACAACTTTAGGTGCAAGTTCCTGGAAAACCAAAACACCTCAGAGCAGAATGAAAGTGTCTTTTCTGTTTCTGAAAAACACAACCTAACAAGGAAATAAAAAAGAAGATTGAGTTTAGAAGAACATTTGAAGTGTAAACATATTCCCCAAATAGGGGATGACTCAGGTTTCATAGAAAAAGCTTATTTATTTCCAAACAGAATGTGTTTTTGTTCCATTGAGAGGACACATTTACTCTGACAGACATACTTCAAGGTGATCCACTAGAGAGAAAACTTGATGCCATGTTTCACTAGAGGAAAAGGCATGTGTCTGTTGTGATTGACTAAATCAGTATTGCCTTTCGAGTTACTTCAATGATAGTGTTTGTCGGCCTTGATTTTTCTCAAGGGTGACAGAAAATGCCAACTCACTGCTTGTCTGAACTAAATCAATCAATCAGTCAGAACAAATTAATCTCGGCTGAAGCCTGAGGATCAGCACCGTCCTCCTTGCTTTATCAATATCTTTTACATTCGGACATGTATTTGTCAGTCCAGTTTTGTTTCAAGAAGGTGTGACCACCAACTGGCCTCTTCATGAGATACTTCAGGGATAACAACAATGACTATGTAAGGGTTTAATCAAGAAAAAAGTGCAGCTTCAATGATATTCTTTTAGTTTCACTATTTATATATTCTTCTCTCTTGTTCTTTTTCTCTCTCTGTCTGTGTTATATCTCTGACTCACATAATTGCACAGGCTAGTGTAATTCCCCCCATTTTCTCTGTCACACATCCACACAAAGAAACCATTGATTTCATTTATTGTGTATTCAACCCTCAGAAAATCTAAGGACACCATTGTATATACTACTTGGCTATTACTGCTGTATTTCTTTTTTTTGAAAAGCAATATTAACCTGTATTTTGGAGAGTATACTCTCTCTACAGTGAGAGCTTATGTATAGAAATAATGGTCTGTCAAAGGTAATTTGCTCAATGGGGTTGAAAAGATGAAAACTGTCTGAAAGGGTTAAAGTCTTTTCAGAGTGTGAATGAGTGAGGTATTGATGATTTTCATGTTGTTGCTCGTCGCTACATTTTTATCACACCTGAATAAACCCATTTCTGCGAGACAATCTTCTCCTCACCTTCCCATCCAAGGAAATCAACTTCCTTCCATTCTTATTCCCTCTGTTTGGCCTGTCACCCTGGTTACCAAAAATATTTAGGGAAAGGCTACTGTGTGGTGTTTGTGTGTGTGTGCGGGCAGGGGGGGGGGTGTTTGGAGGCTTAGCGGTGTGTAAGAAGACCTTCAATCAGGATCCAAGGAATGCTTTGTGTAAGCAGCTAACCGTCTAATTGGCTCCTTCATTTCTTGTAGGTCAAAAGGTCATAAGGCCAAAATAAAACGTCAGGAAATGGTTGATACCCTGAAGGAATAAGGCGCAGCCATTAGCCTGTAATTACAAACGGAATATTTGGCGTGTAAGTCACTGATAAAGGTATGATGAATACATTATTAAAGGCTATCTTACAACAAAATGACTGGGTGTTTCTCAATCGCGAGTACGCTTGCTTGGTAGCACATGTCTGCCGAGCATCTTGCTTCAGAAGCGAGTCAAGAATACTTCCTGCCATTCGGAAAACAAAGAGTGGAACAGGCTAGCAAGTGTGCAGGTGTGCGTCATATGGGAGGCCCCGCATTACATCTTCCGCCACAGATTTGGGGAAATTGGTCCGTGCGCAAAGCATTGTGGGGATTTTAAGGCCGCGAAGTCTACTCATGTGCACACTCGATATTTCTCCAAACGGAGTACGCCGGGCTCGGTAGATTTCCAAGTATACTGGAGATTGGAACAGTACTTCGGCGGCACTCGATGACGTAGTATGCTTGAAATAGTGGCTCGGAAGCAGCTTTACTCGCGATTGAGAAACACCCACTGTGTATGTCGTCAACTGGTGGAAAGATGTCATCCAATCACCATTGGACGAAGGTTTTTATGTCACTCAGACTCCTTTAACAATGAACTCGCTTTTTGACAATGTTTTTTTTAAAACAAACATTTTACTGGCCACCATGTTTTTAGCCAAATGGTGCCCGATTGGCTTACTTCTCCCTCACTGTGAGTACCCCTCAATAAAACATGCCTGCATGCTAACCCATTGCAATCTGGCAAAGAGTTTACACATCATCAGACACCTTGGCAGATTAATAATAAAAAAAATCAAGGTCTGACTTATTCAAGGTCTTGCTTTTTTCAGTTTATATCTGCATGGTTGATTGCACACACTGTCGCTTTATGCAAAAGTCGCTTTGCATAAATGTGCCAGCTCAATGAAATGTGATGTGATGTGTCCCTACAAAAAGGTGTACAATCAGATTGCAATTGAAATCAAAACATGTCTGGGTCTCACAAAGCCTTGAAACGTTCCTTTATTACAATATCCACAGACCTTGTTGAAGTAGCTGAAATCAATGAAGGGTTTGTTACAAAAGACCACAGTTATTCATGACTTCAGTGGCATCACTCCGACTTGGAGGTCACAGATAACTTACAATAAGAATTACAAAAATATCAGATTTTAAATAGATTAAAGGATAAATAGGCTTGATTAACAGATGGATCAGTGACTCTCTTTTATGTTGTACCCATTTCTATTT